GAAACAGCTTTTTGGAGGCTTTAGCATGTTCAAAAACTCACCAAACTTGGCAGTAAATTGTCCCCCTAGTGAAATTTACGTATGATAATGGAATTCAAAATGGGCGTGGCCAAATCCCTCTAGAGCGCCCCCTAACGTGAGTTGGGGAAAACCGTAAGTCACAGAGATTTGAGATTTGGCAGGTGCATAGATCTTACCAAATCATGAAAAAAGTTACATTGTGGGTATGCTCTAAAACCTACAGGAAGTCGGCCATTTTGGCTCAAAGGCCGATTTTTGGCACTTTTTCAATTTTGTTGACGTCGAACTTTCGCGAACTCCTCCTAGGGACGGTGAGCCATCGGCTTCAAACTTGGCATGTATGCAGATAAGGCATGTGAGATCTAAACTTATCAAACTTTTTGAGTTTTCCAGCATTTTAAAGGGGTGTGGCCAGGCCTCGAAGTTGGCGTACTCGCCAACATTTTCAAAATGCAATAACTTTTACATATGAAACTGAAATGACACGAAACCTGGTAGTATTAATCCTCTCTGAGTTCCCAACAAAACTGTATATTAAAACTTTTACATAATTGAAGCCACGCCCCCTGAGAACCGGAAGTCACGTTTTTTACTTGGAATGGTCCCTCTCTGTCCTACTTGACCTCATCAACCTAAAACTGTGTCAGCAGACAGACAACATGTTGTCCTAACTTCGTTTAAGGCACAGAGAGCTTTAGTCAAATGGTGTTGCCGTGGCGCCATGGCGAAGTGAGGCGTTTCGCCATGAAAATACGATTGGCTCTCATTTCCTCATTAATAATCAGATCTGCACCAAAATCACAAGAGATGATCCTAGTCCAACTCCAAACAGGAATCCAGAGCAATATTTTGTGGGCGGGGCTTAATTTCCCTACAGCGCCCCCTAGAAATAACAAACTTTAAACCACCAGCCCCAAGCCGTTTTTAGTCCTAGAATATTGAAACTTTGAACACATTTGCATCTCATCAGGCCCTAACTAAAAGCCTCTTGGAGCCATGGTCTAAACCCCACCGGAAGTCGGCCATTTTGAATTACATTTTACTCTGTTGCGAAAGCACTGACCTCTTTTCAAAAAATTGTATAAAATCAGTATTTTATCCAAATGAGCTAAAACTTTCAAAATATGTTCTTTATAAAGCCTGCTGTAAGTTGGTTACAATAGCAAAGCGCTTCTTTAAAGTCCGTCACTCTGATTTTTCAAAAGTTTGCGTTCTCGCCTAGTAGTTGGCCAAGTGGACAGATAATGCCAGGAAATAATTCAGCCCCTAGCCATGCTCGTTCCTAGGATAATGAAATTTGGCACACATCTGTATGAGCCCTCCACCTACAAAAAGTTTCATTGGAGCCATGGTCTAAACCTCTCATGAAGTCGGCCATTTTGAATCAAACGGCACCCTTATGAAAATAGAATCACTATGTTAAAATATTTCTAAAAAATCAGTCGATTTCTCAAAAAAGCTAGGACTTTTGGAATATATTCCTTTAATCGCTACTTGTTTGATGGTAAACACAGCATAGCTCTTCTTAAAAGTCCGTCACTCTGATTTTTCAAAAGTTTGTGTTAACAGGAAATTGTTGTTTTTCAAAAAGTTTTATAGCAATCCTAGCCAAATTTGGAACATTTATTTAGACTTTGATTATAGTAAAGTCTGCCAAGTTTGGCGTGAATCTATGCATGTTTGAGCATCTTATGGGGTATTCAACTGCCTCAGTATATGGCACTTAAGTTTAAAGATTTTTTTTTCTTTCAATTAATTATTAAATAATCTAAAAAAATTCTAGAATATGCAGGATGCATTCCTCGACATGTGTGATTTTTTTCGGGATTTTACTGCAAACTATGGATTTTTAATGATTTTTTATAGTTTTGAGTAGGGTGTAATACTGCTAACCATGGAGTTTGAAGATGCTGTTTCTCCTTCTTTTGAACATATACTTTTGACCCACCAACTGAGATGGCCGCAGCGTCTATCTGACAGATGAGATTCGTCCCAGATATTATCTTTTATCCCTATTTTAACCCTTCCTGACCAACGCTGTGGTTGTCTCCTGCTGGTCCAGAGGTGAAGCGTGGAGCTTTTTCCGCTGGCTGGGAAGGTGCAAGGGGGCGGCGGTCGCTTGGCTCCCGCGGTCGCAATAGGCCGAGCGGCGCTGAGCTGCGAGGGCCGTCAATACCGCTCGCGGTTTTAATTATTATTTTTCTCCGCGTAAAAGAAACAGCTTTTTGGAGGCTTTAGCATGTTCAAAAACTCACCAAACTTGGCAGTAAATTGTCCCCCTAGTGAAATTTACGTATGATAATGGAATCCAAAATGGGCGTGGCCAAATGGCTCTACAGCGCCCCCTAACGTGAGTTGGGGAAAACCGTAAGTCGCAGAGATTTGAGATTTGGCAGGTGCATAGATCTCACCAAATCATGAAAAAAGTTACATTGTGGGTATGCTCTAAAACCTACAGGAAGTCGGCCATTTTGGCTCAAAGGCCGATTTTTGGCACTTTTTCAATTTTGTTGACGTCGAACTTTCGCGAACTCCTCCTAGGGACGGTGAGCCATCGGCTTCAAACTTGGCATGTATGCAGATAAGGCATGTGAGATCTAAACTTATCAAACTTTTTGAGTTTTCCAGCATTTTAAAGGGGTGTGGCCAGGCCTCGAAGTTGGCGTACTCGCCAACATTTTCAAAATGCAATAACTTTTACATATGAAACTGAAATGACACGAAACCTGGTAGTATTAATCCTCTCTCGGTTCCCAACAAAACTGTATGTTAAAACTGTTACATAATTGAAGCCACGCCCCCTGAGAACCGGAAGTCACGTTTTTTACTTGGAATGGTCCCTCTCTGTCCTACTTGACCTCATCAACCTAAAACTGTGTCAGCAGACAGACAACATGTTGTCCTAACTTCGTTTAAGGCACAGAGAGCTTTAGTCAAATGGTGTTGCCGTGGCGCCATGGCGAAGTGAGGCGTTTCGCCATGAAAATACGATTGGCTCTCATTTCCTTATTAATAATCAGATCTGCACCAAAATCACAAGAGATGATCCTAGTCCAACTCCAAACAGGAATCCAGAGCAATATTTTGTGGGCGGGGCTTAATTTTCCTACAGCGCCCCCTAGAAATAACAAACTTCAAACCACCAGCCCCAAGCCGTTTTTAGTCCTAGAATATTGAAACTTTGAACACATTTGCACCTCATCAGGCCCTAACTAAAAGCCTCTTGGACCCATGGTCTAAACCCCACCGGAAGTCGGCCATTTTGAATTACATTTTACTCTGTTGTGAAAGCACTGACCTCTTTTCAAAAAATTGTATAAAATCAGTATTTTATCCAAATGAGCTAAAACTTTCAAAATATGTTCTTTATAAAGCCTGCTGTAAGCTGGTTACAATAGCAAAGCGCTTCTTTAAAGTCCGTCACTCTGATTTTTCAAAAGTTTGCGTTCTCGCCTAGTAGTTGGCCAAGTGGACAGATAATGCCAGGAAATAATTCAGCCCCTAGCCATGCTCGTTCCTAGGATAATGAAACTTGGCACACATCTGTATGAGCTCTCCACCTACAAAAAGTTTCATTGGAGCCATGGTCTAAACCTCTCATGAAGTCGGCCATTTTGAATCAAACGGCACCCTTATGAAAATAGAATCACTATGTTAAAATATTTCTAAAAAATCAGTCGTTTTCCCAAAAGAGCTAGGACTTTTGGAATATATTCCTCTAATCGCTACTTGTTTGATGGTAAACACAGCATAGCTCTTCTTAAAAGTCCGTCACTCTGATTTTTCAAAAGTTTGTGTTAACAGGAAATTGTTGTATTTCAAAAAGTTTTATAGCAATCCTAGCCAAATTTGGAACATTTATTTATCCTTTGATTATAGTAAAGTCTGCCAAGTTTGGCGTGAATCTATGCATGTTTGAGCATCTTATGGGGTATTCAACTGCCTCAGTATATGGCACTTAAGTTTAAAGATTTTTCTTTCTTTCAATTAATTATTAAATAATCTAAAAAAAATCTAGGATATGCAGGATGCATTCCTTGACATGTGTGATTTTTTTCGGGATTTTACTGCAAACTATGGATTTTTAATGATTTTTTATAGTTTTGGGTAGGGTGTAATACTGCTAACCATGGAGTTTGAAGATGCTGTTTCTCCTTCTTTTGAACATATACTTTTGACCCACCAACTGAGATGGCCGCAGCGTCTATCTGACAGATGAGATTCGTCCCAGATATTATCTTTTATCCCTATTTTAACCCTTACTGACCAACGCTGTGGTTGTCTTCTGCTGGTCCAGAGGTGAAGCGTGGAGCTTTTTCCGCTGGCTGGGAAGGTGGAAGGGGGCGGCGGTCGCTCGGCTCCCGCTGTCACAATAGGCCGAGCGGCGCTGAGCTGCGAGGGCCGTCAATACCGCTCGCGGTTTTAATTGGTTTTATTTTTATTACCGATTAAATCTATATTCATTAAATCACTGCAAACGTATTAGTTTCAGGTCTAAATAATGATCCATTGATTATTCCTGCTGACTGAACTTTTCCGGTAAATCGTTCAAATTAGGATGCACAAAAAAAAAACAAATACTGTAGTATCACTGCAAATGTTATATTTGGGCCAAGAAAGATCCCTAGAAGAAGTCTATCTGCCTTTTCTAGATCTATAATATCTGAGTGAAATATTTCTGTGATTTCTGTTAGATTTCCTTCAGCTGTGGAATTGATTTTACTAACCAGAAAATGTCCCATTAAATATTTCATACTTGTTTAGAGCTTTTGTTTAAAGTTGTTCTTATTGATGTTTTTCATTCTTTCTCTAATTATTTGTGCAACAGGAGCTTTGAAATATTTATTTTATAAGGTAAAACGATCTTTATCCATCTCCTAATTCTGGGTCCAGTTCTTGGCTGGTTTTCTGTGTCTGGTTGATGACAGGAATCACTGAAGCAATAACAGAAAATGAACCCACAGAGGTCAGAGTTTTACCTGCTTAATGTTGCTGCCATGGTTGGTGCTGTAGGTGATTCTGTGGGCCGGGACGTCCACAGCACCAGGAACCCAGCTCACCTTTATCATGCTGTGGGTGACAGTCGGGAACTGAACTCCAGCCGGGGCTGGGAGGGGTACTTTAGGACCAGGAGGAACAGTGAAAAAGGAAACAGTACTGTTATTATTATCCATTTGTAGGTCAGAGGGATGGATCAGTATCAGGACTCACTCACAGGTACGGGCTACCGAGGTGACCGGATCACTGGGATCTTCATCATAAAGAGCATAAAGTGTGATGGAGTAGTCCGTCTCTGGAAGCAAGCCTGCAAGCTCCACCCCCGTCTGCCCTGCACTGAACTTCTCCTTTCCACAGACAATAGATGGTTTTCCATTTTAGTACATAGAGCTAGTGCAGCTAGAATCTGTTTATCGTGAACTAATATGGGAGCAGAACTAGGCTGACATCACAAACAGCTACACTTAGTCAAAGGGTGCATTCGTTTTCAGAGGCTGCATCCTCCAAGGACTCGCTCTACCTTTAACTCCCATTAAGCTAATAATGGATTATGATGTCTTGAATCGATGGAATCATAGAAATACAATAAAGAAATCTCATTTTTGGTATTATTTTTATTTAGAAGATTTAATAGAAATGTGCATAATAGGACTCCTGTAATTTGACACTGTCAGGACTCCTGTCTGTGTGTTTGTGATTCTGTGTTTTTCTCCCTTCATCCACCAGGAGGCGCCTGGTTCTGGTCCGCCTCCTCACACACCTGCTGATGGTTTCCTCGTTAGCGGAGTGTTCTTAAGCTGCTGACTGTCACCACCTCGACGCCAGAGTGTTTGCCAGTTTAGGGTACTCTAGCCAAGCTGAGTTTTTGCTGAGTCAACCTGAGTTTTTGTCAAGCTGAGTTTAACTTTGTTTTTGTCTTTGCCTCTCGGCAGGAAGTCATCCTGCAAACTGGATTTCTTGGACCTTCTCTCCCTGGAAGGATCAACTGAGCTTCAAACTGAGCTGGGGTTCAAACAGGAGGTTTGGATCCATTTTCGTTTGAGCTTCACACTGAGAAAGGGATTATTCTTCACTACGACCCGTTCAAGTACCGCAGGAAACCTGAGTGGCAGTCAGTTTCTCCGTTCACCTACTAACCACATTCTGGGTAAAACCTGTTCCGCCCTCCACCGAATCAGTCAAACACTGGAACCACGGCACACAGACTGGAGTCAAGGACACAACAACTTCAATGGAAACGTGAGTCGGCAACCAAATCCTCTTCTCCAAGTTCACGAGTCAAACCACAGTGACAATACATCCTTTTTCCTCCTTATCGGGGCAACAGTGCAATAAAGCATAGCCTGCAACAGCAACCTCTCCATAAGGTAAGTTTATGTGAACAAAAACAAGCCGGTATAATTGAATTGCACCCACTGGTTTGTCTATAACAGCCACCTGCATGGGACCGCGCCGCACTGAAATGTGTTTCGCAGGCTATGAAGTAAACTGGAAATCATAAAGTATGTTTGTTTGTCCTCTTAAACACTACTCAAAGTAACAATAAGAAATCCACCTTTATTTATCTTCATAAAATTTGAAAAAGCTCCAGTGAGCCATAAGGGGAGCCGTGGGTTGCTGACCCCCGGTTTAGGGTCATGGTTAGGAACGTGATGGTAAGTTACGCGTGTCTGTGCATGTACTAGATGCACATGTAGAGAAGAACTCAGGAGCAGAAGCTAGAAGAAGCAGAGCAGTATTAGTTTGTGCTTTTTGTATCACTACAAAACCAAATTGTTGTCACTTTGAATAGAAAATATTTGTGTAGATGGCAGTAGTACAACATGGGGACAATAAATATTCTACTAACACAGATAGCTCCATAGAAAGACTGCATAATCCAGCATAATCCAGCATAATCCAGCATAATCCACCATGAAACAGACAGTTCATTGAGCCACTTTGAAAGAATCAAAAAGTAATGAAGTAGATCAAAGACTTAATTAAAACTAAAGACTGATTCACAATGACTCATTTGACTGACTTGCTGTGCAAACTAAGAATGTCAGGTTTTCAGAAGTCGGGCGCACAGAAAAAAGGACAAAGGGAAGATGACACCAACGGTTTGAGGGAAATTAGGAGTAAATATTAACAATAAACTGAGGGGGGGTCAGGAACAGGAACGGAACAGCAGACGAATGACGCCCATTCACAGCCTGATTAAAGCAACGCGTCTATCAATGTGATTCTAAAGTATAGCATCCACTAGCTAGCTGAAGGGAGAAAAATAGGTTTTATTTTACAGAAATCCTTGAGCTTAGCGCCAAAACAGCAGAAAGATGGCGGAGGTCCAGGTGCAGAGTGAAAGGCAGAGTGGAGCAGGAGAGGCAACTCGATGCTGGGGGGTTAGGATAACAGAGAGGTGTTATTAATTAATTTAATTGATCTTGAGCTGTGGCCAACATAAATGACTGATTCTGATTGAGTGAATGTTTTGCTTTTATGGCAAAAGGAAGCCGTGCTCAGAGACAGCAGATGAACAGCAGGTTCAGAGGGCAGATAATTCCCAAAGCATCTAACCTATTCTACCTCCCATAATGGAGGGGGGAGGATTGTTAGAGACTGGCTGATATACAGCAGGTGAAAAAAGGCCATATTTCGCTGTGAAGTAGAGAAAAGTTGAACTAGAGCATTAGATTCAATAGATGGAATTAAAATACCCAGCATAAAATACAGAAAGCTTTATGAAAGATTTCCAGTGCAAAAGAAACTGTGCCACAAACATTGTTATTGGATTTGCAGAACCAGCTATGTCATTTCCTGTTTCTACCTGTGACAGGCACGGAGGTGGGCGGGGCTTCAGTAAAATGAAGATAAGAAAAAAGCACCTGGGCTCCAGGGTGTCACAGGAAAAGCTCAGTGATCTGGAAAAGAATCTATAGAGCTAAGAAATGACTCTTTAAAGACATTATAAATGAATTTAGCAGTAAATAGTTTGGGTCAGGTGGGCCAAACAGACTGCGGCGTCTCGGGCAGCAGAGCTGCCAGCTGGCCTGCTTGGCTTCATGAATGGATGCACGACACATGGTTATACAAACACCTTCGAATAAAGTCTTCATTTACACCCGAATACTAAAGTTAGATTTGAAATTTGAATGTTAAGTCATAGTTTTGTTGAGAGAGAAGATTTTTATAAACAATTTATCTAATTTGATCGATTAAATAAATCCTAGTTTGGTAATCAGCACACAGTGATGATTTGGAAAGAAGTTAAACGGTTTAAAAGAAGCAGCTTAAATGTAGTTAAGCTACTTTTCTAATGTTTTTGTACCTTCAGTGCAGTGAAGCGTCATTTAATGTAGAATAACTGGTAGCTGAACTCACTGCTAGTAAGTGATTAGATCTATAGATCTGCATCCAGTGGCCCTTTAGTTATAGGGGACTGTTTTTATCCAGACACAGCAGCTTTTTCTGCTTTGATTAAGTTTCTGGTTAAAGTTTTTTTTTCTCCTGCTTCTGTTTTAGTTTCAGTTCTTACCTCCTTAGCGTCATCCGGCTCTCCATCGCTCAGCGCAGAGTACAGGATCATGTAGTCAGTAGCCCCAGGAGCTGCGCTCCATCTGACCTGCAGACTGCTGTAGGAGGAAGGAGTCACCGCCAGGCCTGAGGGCATGGCCAGAGGCACTGGGGGGGGGGGAGAGAAAAGCAGACCATGTGTGAAGGGCATGGATGGACTCTTTCCAGGATCTTGTTCTTTTAGTTATTTTTTCATTCATGTTTCCAGCGATTAATTGGGGAACTAAATCAGTCTCAATTTTCACAATAATACACACGAGTGATTCATACATGCACACACACACAGCAGGATTCACTCAAAACCTGACACACAATGCAGTGAAGTTTAAAGACCTAAATAATTAAATTTATAATTGTTTATTGACCAGAAATACTTTGGCGAATCATGTGCCGTCCACGTGTGAATCTTGCACGCTCGTGTGAGTCGTGCTGCATGTGTCGATCACATATGTTATCTGTTGAGACGGATTTAGCTCCATATTTTATGGTCATTATACCATTAAAAGTACAGAGCAACAACATGAACTCTCTACAGTGGGCTGCCATTGTGCGCCACCCGGGCAGCAGTGAGGTTAAGTGTCTTGCTCAGGAACCCAGAGTGGCAGAAAACCTCTGGATTCCAAACGCAATGCCTTAACCACTAGGCCGCCACTCCCCAGAGCAGGCTTTAGCATGAAGGGTCTTGTCTAAGGATCGACACCTGCAGCTCATCTCTTGCTGGATTCAGGACCCCAAGACACTTGAACTCCGCCACTTGAGGCAGGAGCTCTCCTCCAATCAGAAAGGGACAAGCAACCTCTTTGCAGTCGAGACTAATTGCCTTGGATTTAGAGCAACTGATCATCACGGCTGCTGCACACTTAGCTGTGAACCACTCCAGTGCATAATGGACCTCTCTGCAGGAGGGAGCCAGTAGAACCACTCATGTGCTAAAAGCAGGAATAAAATCTGGTCCAATGTTCCACTAACCTGACAACAGCCAGATGCATGTCTCACTCCGCCTAGCTCTGGAGCTGGGCGGAGCGAGACATGCATCTGGCTGTTGTCAGGTTAATGTTCCACAGCCAGGACCAAAACCACACTGCTCCTAAAGGCAACGGTTCAACCATCAACCCAACTCTCTCCAGGACCCTGGAACAGACCGTCCTGCAGAGGATGAGAAGTGTGATCCCTCTATAGTTGGAACACTCCCCCTGTTTGAGCAGGAGAACCACCGACACAGTGTCCTAGATCTCTGTCCAAGAGGTGTGTCAGGGACAACAGCCCCACAACATCAAGAGCTCTAAGGTACCCAGGGTAGGAGCTCATTAACCCCCGACCATAGACCACCCCGGGGACGATCTGGCAGAATCGCTTTGAGGCCAACTGATGGTCTTTCTTCATGGCCTCTTCAAGTGTTTGCCTCTGCAACGCTCAGCCTCATGATACCTGCTTGCTGCCTCAGACGTCCCACAAACCAGCCAGGCTCAATAGGACTCTTTCAGCTTGATAGAATCCTTTACTGCCGGCGTCCACTGACTCAGCAGGCAGCACAGTCCTTACAGCCTCAGCTACGGAAAGTCACATCCACAACGGAGGCAGAGAACCAGGTCCCTCCTCAGACTCCCCTGGATTCTGGGAGAATCTCTCCTGGAGGTCGGAGTTGAACAATTCCCTGATCGAGGCTCAACCAGACCGACCATATTTATTACATTAATAAGTGGCAAGATCTCTTTTTCTCAATGTCAAACTTCTAATGTTACTTGCAAAACATGCATCAAAATAAACATAAAGCAAAAATAATTATATATTTATCAAGTTATTAATAAAGATTAAATACATATTTTTACTTCATGTCCATCATTTATTTATTTTACCTCTTGCTTTACAAATCAGATTTTTGCATCTGGAAAAAGTTCCTTTGGCTCCTGTCACACCTTGAGGGTTTATGCAGCGTCTGCCTGACCTCCCAGAATCTCCTTAAACGCCGACGAACGCTGAACTTTCTGCCGATTGTTTTCAATTTAGGGCGAAAACATGGAGAATTCATAACGAACCCAGAACTATGTCCAGTACTTCAGCTGAGGGGGGATGAGGGGGAATGGCACCCCCCTTCTTAAAAAACCTTAAAAATCATTTACTCCCCCCCCTACCATCCCCTGTAACATTTTATCACCGAATGTGTAAATTTCTATCATATATTAACAGTAATGGCAATAATATTGCTGTTACAACATTTGGCAGACTGTGCGCTAACAGCTAGCCTGACCAAACTACGGTGGCCCAGAGGGCACCTGCATTTCATTTTCCACCTCATTGGCGCAGCCAGCAGATCAGCTGACGGTTTTCAGAACAGCATCAAGGCCAGGCGGCGAACACAACGCGATTTGAGCGACTTAATAAGAAGGCAGAATCTAACGCTTCAGGTAAGTCTGGGGTCAGAAGACGTGACCTTTTTTCACCGTGTGTCACCAGATATGTAGAAGTCCTGACCTCTGGACACAAAGCAGGAAACATTTTCTGAATCTTTGTGACTCACTGATCCTCCATCAACCTTTTTCCCTTTCTTTCCCGTTACTCGCCCTGTTGAACCAACATGAAGCTCACATGTGGTGACGGTTCCTCTGAGCGCCGAGCCGACGCTGCTGGCGAACACAGGGAATATGGAGATGTGATACAGCGTCTGGGAGGAGAGTCCATCCAGCAGAACGGTGGACTCAGCGCCGGATAACACAACCTGGACAGAAACGTCTGCAGTTAGAAACACTGAAGTCAGGATAAGTCATTTTTTTCTTAAAATAAGCGCATTTGTTCCTAAATGTGAGAAGGCAGATATCTGACCTCCTCTGGACTCTGACTGGCTGCGCTGTGGTAAACCACTCTGTACTGCTGGACCGGCTGGCTGGGATTGGTCCAGTGCAGCTTCACCTGTCTGGATCCAAGCTGGGAAAAGCGCAGACTGGTTGGACCGGGAAAGGAAAGCTGTGGTTCCACACTGGGTCTGGGCTCCATTCCTAGAGAGGCAACAGATCAAATCTGATTAGAAGCAGCCGGTCTGAGCAGACGGACGGACGGACAGGTGGGCGGGCTACGTTTGGAGATGCTGCGGTCCTCCACCCTCGCACACAGGATGTGAACCAGCCGAGCCACCAGTTTGCTGAGCAGCGGGAAGTCGTTCACATTGTAGACGTTCAGATCGACCGGCTCCGACACCACCTGTCTCAGTTCTGCTTCGTCAGCATTTTTAACACCTGAAAAAAAAAACTTTGATCAACCGCTGAAACATTGAAGGTTAGAACAGACATCTGAGCAATGACACAGAAAAAAGAGAGAGAAACAACTTTGAAATAAAGAAATAAGAAGATAATGTTACGAGTTGAATTAATTCACTTTCACTTATTTTAATACGCAGCTTTATTCCTCTGAAACATCATGATGAATAAATTAACTTTTTCTCCTTAAAAACTGAAACGATTGGTAGATAGAAGTAATAGATAATATTTACCATAATGGAATAAAACTTCACTTTTTTATAAATATATAAACATTGACTTTTTAAAAAAAAAATAGATTTTTCATCATTCTGCTTCATTCTATCTCTATAGTTCTGCTGCTATAGGCTTAGACTGCTGGAGGACATAGGGACCCCTTTTTCATCATTCTATCTCTATTCTCCCACTCTGCAGAATCTGTTAGTTCAATCTCTAACGTTCTGCTCTCTCTGCTTTTTCTCATAGTAGCTTCATCTGGTCTGTTCCTGTTTGGCTGTGACTCCATCCTGGAGAGAAATATCAGCTGTGCTGCTGCCATCAACACCTTTGTTTCTAGATGTTGGAGCTTGGCCTGTTTTCCAGTGTAGTCCTGTTTCTCTGACTGTGACTAACTGGATGTGCTCTCTTCATCCTCTGACATGGGAGCTGGCTCGGAGCTCGTCTGCCTGGCTGTGTGTTTCCTGGACGGGGCCGCCGTTTACAGTTGCCTTTTGTATCTATGCTTCTTTTTCTATGTCTGCTTCTGTCTCCTTGAACCCCAGTGGGCCTCAGCAGATGGCCGCTCACACTGAGCCTGGTTCTGCTGGAGGTTTCTTCCTGTTCAAAGGGAGTTTTTCCTCTCCACTGTCGCTACAAGCATGCTTAGTGTGAGGGATTGCTGAAGAGTCAATGAGTCGATGCAATCAGCTGGTTTTCCTTAGATAGAAAACTTTGAATCAATCTGGCTGGATGATCTGGTTGAACTGGAAAGTGACCTGAGATGACATGATTTGAATTGGTGCTATAGAAATAAACTGAATAGATTGAAACTGAATTAAACCTTTCCTCAATACTTTGGAGGGAAGTCTTGTTGGGAAGATCTCAAACAACCGAACCCTCATCTCATCTAGAGATTTTCTTCTTTCTGTAGATCTTTGCTGCTCCATGTCGGTAAACAGACAAACCTTTGGATTTAAAGGTGGACTCTGATGGAGCCCCTCAAGCTGAAGATGCAGGTCGTTGTCGTCGCTCTCTGTGTCCCATCTACTAACCAAAACCAGGTCATCTTCTGTGGTTTCTGTCCAGGATTCCCAGACCGATGGAGAGACATCTCGCCTCCTGTTTTTCTGGCTCCTCCTCCCTTCGGTTTCGGAAAGCTGCTTCCAATGGCTTTGATGTCATTTTTATCTTTTACTTTAAATAACTGAAAGTTGTAACAGACCACGACGAAAACTTGACATTCTTCTAAAACCAGATCCACGTCATCCATGTCACCCACGACGCTCTAATTATTTTATTTTAGTGTATTTCAAAGAGAGATTTCAGGGATCTATAGAGATTGTATTTCATAATAAAAGTAATTGTATGTAAAGTGTAATGCTTTTTGTTTCATTCTGCACTTGTTCGCTCTGTCCAGCAGATGGCGCCAACAGTGTCTCCTTTTTCAAGCGATTTTTCTATTGTCATTACACTGTCACAAATATGATGGTGAGGATTCTCAGTCCTCCAGGTCAGAGTCAGTCCAAAAAAGTTAAAATCAATCCACTGGACTTTGCTTCCAATTTTGAAGACGTTTCTCTTCCCATCCAGGAAGAGAAATTGCGCTGAGTTCCAGGCTTTATACGTAGTGTGGACCAAAAACAAAGCCTTGCAAATTGATCCGGAAGAGCGGCTCCGCCCCTTTGGAATGGTGGTCGTTTGAAACTTTGGACGTTTCTTAATTCGAGTACTTGTGCGTTCTCATGTCCTGGAAAAACGTCATCAGCCTCAGTCCTGGTACTGTTCCGATTCACAAGAGCAGCAGACCAAGAACGGACAAGGTCCCCGGATGTTGTTCTGGCCCCTCCCTATTTACCCAGCATGCATCAGAGCAGACCTGTCCGTTCTTGAGACTGACAGCTGTCCCAACATGCACTGCGGCAGCAGCTTCCAGGTTAGCGCTCACAGAGCTCAGAGTATTAAGTTAAAAGTTCTCTTTTCTGTCAATGCTGTTCTATAAAGTACGTTTTAAGATCACTTAAGGCGAGAGCGTTATACTTTAAAGCTTCACTACATGGCCCATTTACTGATTTAATGCGGAATAAAAAAAAGATCAGAAGTTGAGAGGACCGCGGCAACCAGCGAACCTCCAGGGCTAACGGCAGCCAGGGCTAACGGCAGCCAGGGCTAACAGGAGCCAGGGCTAACGGCAGCCAGGGCTAACGGCAGCCAGGGCTAACGGCAGCCAGGGCTAACAGGAGCCAGGGCTAACAGGAGCCAGGGCTAATGGCAGCCAAGGCTAACGGCAGCCAGGGCTAACGGCAGCCAGGGCTAACGGCAGCCAGGGCTAACGGCAGCCAGGGCTAACAGGAGCCAGGGCTAACAGGAGCCAGGGCTAATGGCAGCCAGGGCTAACGGCAGCCAGGGCTAACGGCAGCCAGGGCTAACAGGAGCCAGGGCTAACGGCAGCCAGGGCTAACGGCAGCCAAGGCTAACGGCAGCCAGGGCTAACGGCAGCCAGGGCTAACAGGAGCCAGGGCTAACAGGAGCCAGGGCTAACGGCAGCCAGGGCTAATGGCAGCCAGGGCTAACGGCAGCCAGGGCTAACGGCAGCCAGGGCTAACAGGAGCCAGGGCTAACGGCAGCCAGGGCTAACGGCAGCCAGGGCTAACGGCAGCCAGGGCTAACAGGAGCCAGGGCTAACGGCAGCCAGGGCTAACAGGAGCCAGGGCTAACGGCAGCCAGGGCTAACGGCAGCCAGGGCTAACGGCAGCCAGGGCTAACGGCAGCCAGGGCTAACAGGAGCCAGGGCTAACGGCAGCCAGGACTAACGGCAGCCAGGACTAACAGGAGCCAGGGCTAACGGCAGCCAGGACTAACAGGAGCCAGGGCTAACGGCAGCCAGGACTAACGGCAGCCAGGACTAACGGCAGCCAGGGCTAACAGGAGCCAGGGCTAACGGCAGCCAGGGCTAACGGCAGCCAGGACTAACGGCAGCCAGGACTAACGGCAGCCAGGACTAACAGGCGCCAGGACTAACGGGAGCCCGTCTGCAGCAGCCCTCTCTCGGCATAGCCATGTGTGAAGGACCGCTGCCTCTGATGGCGAGTTTTTTGTTTTATTTGGCAAAATGTATATTTGATTCGTGTTTATCTGATGGTGTCCATTATTATTCCAACACGAAATTAAAAAGTCCAAATTTATTCCAATCTACAGACTATTAACTATTAATATCAGGAGGAGAAATGCAGCTCCAGACGAGCTGCGCGTGTGGTGATGTCATCAGTACACTTCTGTTCCGATTGACCCAGATTTATTCTGACTTGGCAAGAACACGAGTCTATACTCGCGTTCTTGTGAATTGAGAAACCAAAAAAACGACACATATACTTCTATATAGCATAACTGTTAGCATCATAAGGGAGAAGACAACAGCAATCTCTGCTTTCCTGGAAGCGACAGAAGACGGAGCTTTCACCTCTTCCATCTTTCAGTCTCACCTACAGCGATGATTTCCACGCCTGCGTTCTTAAGCCGGTTAGCTGCTGCGATGGCATCATCCTGAGACTTCCCATCAGTCAACAGGACCAGGAAAGATGGTACGTTGGCTCTGGATCCCACCTCGGTCTTCATGTTTTCCTCCATGACGTGCAGCAGTGCCTGTCCTAGGAGAAACCAGGCTGGTTACCTGCAGGCCACGCCTCCACGGCTGAAGCACGATGCTGCGCTGCATCCCTACCTGTAAAGGTGTTTCCTCCTTTATACCTGAAGTTCCTCACCGCCTCCAACAGCTGCTGTTTTGTGGTGAAGTTATTGAGATGCCACTCTGTGCGAGGGTCTCCGCTGTACTGGGTCAGCCCTACAGCACAGTTATCCAATGATGGCGGTTTTAGTTTTTCCGTTTCTGCAAAGCGTGGATTAAAGCGCTTCATTCCTCTGAATGGCCCTCACCGATTTGAATGTGGTTTGGTCCGACTTTGAAAGGTGTCACCAGCCCCTCCAGGAAGTCTCTGACGCGCCTGAAGTTGGTGCGTCCGATGCTCCAGGAGCCGTCAACCAACAGCACGATGTCTGCCGCTGCGTCGCTCTCACACTGGTAAGGTTTCCTCGGAAGAATCTCTAAATATAAACATACAAACAAACATTGATTAAATCACGTCAAATTAGCACCTTATTTAGTTATTAACTTTATAAAATGATCAGAACTCTCAAAGTTTAAAGAAGTTTATCGTCATTAAGTGAAAAACTGTAAATAATGCTTGCAAAAAGTTAACATTGTGAACATTCTAGTTCCAAGAAGTCAGTTCTTCACTGAAACACTTTTTATCTTCCTCCACTTTATTTCTATAGATCCAATTCACATCAGGTCAGTTTATAGATCCAGATCAACCAGATCATCCAGTCAGATTGATTCAAAGTTTTCTATCTAAGGAAAACCAGCTGATTGCATCGACTCATTGACTCTTCAGCAATCCCTCACACTAAGCATGCTTGTAGCGACAGTGGAGAGGAAAAACTCCCTTTGAACAGGAAGAAACCTCCAGCAGAACCAGGCTGCCTGCTAAGGAGACCCATCCCACAGCATGATGCTATGGTGTCTTACCACGGTGTGTTCAGGGTCATATGCTGCAGTAGTTTTCTTCTACACGTTTAATTTTCACTTTATCTGAGGACAAACATCTTCGGAGCAGAGAACTAATCTGATGTTTGACGGAAACATGTTCATTGGTCTGTCTCTCACAAAAAGCTAGATATCTGAGCTCCACAGCATCTACACACCTAGTCCTAAGGTTCTTTGATGAGCCATGGATACCTGCAGCTCCTCCAGAGCTCTGCCAGCGGCTGTCTGTATAGGATCAGCTTCACTCTCCTTATCTTCAGATTAAACAGCCTGGGAAGCTGTTTTAAACCCAAACTTCTCCAATAAAGTTTTCTAGAGACCTTCTGAGGTCTCCAGAGGATGGATGGAGTCGATATCCAGAGCTGGACTACCTACTAATCAGATGCTAACTTCATTGTATATGATTGTACTTAAGGGGTGGGATGTAAAGGCACTCTACACTATTAATATTTCTATTTTTACAAAAATTAAAAACCAAGAACTCATTTTATTCTCCCTTTTATGCTCCATTGTGTCAGTCGACCATATAAAATATCTCTAAGCTTGAAGCTGAAAGTCCTAAACTGTGAAAAAGAAGAGAGAAGGCAGAGTAAACATCTGTTAAAGGGACGCATCCATAAACCTGAGATGCTTCCATGCATGAAGCTCCCAGATCCTCCTTAGGTCAGGGAGGGAGGAGACGACACACGTGGCCTGCAGCTCCAAAGGGGGGCCTGTCATTTCCCTGCCTGTGAACACCATCATCATGCAGCAAACCAGCACTTACTGCTGCAAAACATCATGTTCCTTTGGCTTATTATAGAGCTGAAGAAAAACGCCAACTTCCTGCATGGAAACACTTTTCTTTGTCGGGGTTTGATTTTGTTTTGCTGGTTTTTTTAATCAGAAAAGAAGCTGCAAAATTCTGTAAACATTTGAAATGTAAGTCTTCCTCATTTCTCCAGCTGCTGTTTTACCCTGTTTCCTCCCCTGCTCCTCCTTGTCCTCCAGCGTGGAACGATGCCGCTCTTTCTTCCTCTTCCTCTTCTCTCTGGTGCCTTTCTCTGGGGGCTCATCAGGTTGTTCGGGAGGGGTTTCTGTTGCTGAGGGCTCTGGGGACCAGAGGCAGAGATAAAAACAGGGGTGGGGTCAAAGTAAGATTAGCTAAAGCTGCTTGCAGGTCAGAATATGAAAGGAAAAAGTGAAAAAAGGCTTTACTTTGCTGTTATTAAATAAACAATCTATCTTAGATAAGCAGCAGTTATGGCGTACTTACCCACAGAAAAAACAAACATTCTCTGTTTTATCGTTTGAATCTTTTTTCTGCTACTTGCTGCAGTTTTTACCAAACGTCCATCAGATCACATTCACTGATGTCAGCCCAAACTGGAAAAGAAACGTTGGTTACAAACCCGACTTTGTAACCCAGCTGATTGGTGACGACCGTTTAGTTTTTTAACCTAAAGGTTTTTTAAAGTATTGATTTTTAAAGGAATATAAATGTAGCAGTTTAAACCAGTTTAAAAAAACCCACTATTTTAAAGGAAAAGTCGCTCAAGTTTAAACTCCTGAAAGTTCTTTAAATGTGAAATTATTCCATCCTGTTCAATAAATGATCAGTGTTTTTAATTCAGAGTAATTTTCATGTGAATGTGCTTTACTGGAGGCATCCATGTTTGGTTTTGGTTTTTTTTTTTCTTTTTTTATTTAAATGCAAAATGTTTAGATATTTTTTTACAGTTCTGATTACCTCTATTTCTTTTTTTAGTTTTTAATCCTTTGTTAGTAAACTTAGGTGTTTTGGGTATGAAGGCTGTTCAGGTCTGAGACTGAGCGTGGTACAAAAATATTATCCTTCAAAGGGACTAAATAAACACTTTTTAAGATGAAGGCTCGGTGTATCCTGATAATTCAATTATGAACATATTAGTTGGTTGTGTTTTTTTAATAGACGCATTGCATCACTGGACCCCTTTAAAGGAAAAGTTGCTCATATTCAGAATTCAAACTTCTGAAAGTTCTTTAAATCTGAAATGATTCCATCCTGTTCAATAAATGATCAGTGTTTTTAATTCAGAGTAATTTTCATGTGAATGTGCTTTACTGGAGGCATCCATGTTTGTCAAAGAACACTACTGCCACCTACTGGTTAGTGACGTCACGGTGCGGTATCGGCTGTTGATCAAGTCCCAGTGCTGTATCTGGTGTTTGTCACAACGCGCTATTATCCAAGTCATCTTGAAAACATTCTTCTTCCAAATGTTGGCTACATATTACGGGTTTTTTCTCTGGCCAGAAGTTCGATGGCAAATCCTCCCTCTTCAAGTTGGCGATCCAACGACCAACCCGTCCGTGGAGGATCAGGAATCAGAAAGGTGGAATAACTCTTTTTTTCACTTTTACCCGATGTATTCCAGCATCCAGCTGCCATGCACGTGGGCATTGTCAGTTTCACTATAGCTCTGGTGAATTTCAATGGTGAAGTCCTCTGGAAATCTTCAATAATTGTTGTTGATTGCAGATGTGTCTAGTAGTTCCCATTGATTTAGCTTGGAAAGCGGGGAGAATGGCGCTAGGCTTACCGCACCGTGACGTCACTGCTGGAAGATGGCAGGAGGGAGGGGCTACTTATTAGTTTTAGGTATAACTAATGATCCATTGATTATTTCTTGCTGACTGAGCAGAGACTCAATAGATGTATAAAAATAAAGTGAATTCTGAATAAAACGAGCCCTTTATAAGAAGTTTTTGGGAATAAGAAAGTATTTATAAGACCAAACTGTGAGGAGAATAATAAACTCTACCTGAAACAGTTTGGTTTGGATTAATTCATTTCTCCAAAGCTTACAGAACATGACTCAGCAGTTTCTCCCTGAGCTTTCAGCAGTAATTACTTTGAGATCAGAGAGATAATCTGGTCCTGCTTTATAATTAAATATTCCTTTGTTTTACCTGGAGATTTTAGACGTTACTGAGACTAACAAAGGGCGTCGGTCAGTAGTTAATAAATGCAAAAATTATCTAGAAATAAGTCAATATTTCTTAAATTAACTGTATTTACTCCTAATTAAAGCAAATAAAGACGATTTGCCAATGGAATGAGTGTTTTTACTCTTAATATAAGAGAATTAAATAATATGCACTCGAAATAAGTTAATAAAATAGTTTTTTCTCATTAGCAAAGTGACCGACAAAATGCACTTATTTTAAGAAGAAATGACTGATATAGACTTTAGTTATTTCCAGTGTGTGTGTGTGTGTGTGTGTGTGTGTGGATGAACTGATTTGTTTTTTGATGAAGAGGCCAACCTGCCTCAGCATCTTAACCATCATCCAGACAGCCTCTGTACAAAACAGCAGCAGATTAGGTGGAGACTGATTGATTGACTTTATTAATCTCCCAGGGGAGAAATGTTCTCGTTATATCAGCTCAAATAGCCAATGAAAAAGGTGACAAAGAAAACGGTGCATGGGATAAATGCACTATGTATAATGTTTCCACATATGACAGCTGGAGTCTAAAAAATGTTTTAATAATAGGATAATTATAGAGGGTTATTGCACTGGAAAAATTATCTAAAAATAAGTAAAAATTTCTTAAATTGAGTGTATTTACCCTTAATTTGAGTAGATAAATGAGGTGGTTTGCCAATGGAATTAATATTTTTACTCTTAAAATAAGATAATTAGATAAAATGCACTTGAAATGAGGCAATGCATGTGTGTTTTCTTATTTTAAACGTAGATTTTCTTGGTCTATTGGCAAAATGTCACTTTTACCTCCTCAATCCAAGAGCAAATGCACTTATTTTAAGAAAAAATTACTTATCTAGATTTTGATTTTTCCAGTGTGCACGGGGTTTTTACATGGGTATTTATATAGATGGATATTTATAGATATAGTTATTGCACTGGTTATTAAATATAAGGAAATAGGTTATTAAACAGTAATTGCACTTTATACAAAGAGACTGAACATCACACAGGGGGTCATCCAGAGAGGTTAGTAGCTGAGGACGTCGCAGAACTCATCATCCTCAGCAGCCTTGGGGGGTGCCGTCCCATGTTAAGTCAGACCAGCATAGATATAGTCAATACAGATGCACAAGATGTCAGATTTGTTTATCTCTTTAGTTTTGGATGAAAAATAGACTTTAAACCCCTTCAACTGGCGCGCATCGCTTTAGTCATATACAAAAAATAAACATTTACGCTTCAGAAAACACCAAAAAGTAAGTAATTAAATAGTTTTTTTGTACATGACTAAAGGGAGACCCGCCCGTCGAAGTAGTTTAAAGTGTGTTTTTCATACAAAACTAAAGGGATAAAGTAAAGCAGTGGTGGGCAATACCTTTGGTCCAACAGTAATTAGATGACTGAGGATGAATCGGATGAATCCGACCTGGACGTTCAGACGCAGGTCACATTTGAAAAGATCAGATTCGTATCGGATTCAGGACCACAGAGCCAAGCGGAAAAAATGGGATCTGTGTTGTTCAGACTGCCATGAAAAGATCAGATCCAGGTCGCATGTAGGCAGGAAAATCGGATCTGGGTCACTTCAGGCTGCGATGTGAACGTAGCCTGACAGCTGCAGGATAAAGGATCTCAGGAACAGCAATTGCCCACCCATGAACTAAAGGGATAAACGCTATTGACTATGGCTATGCTGGTCTGACAGAGGCTTTCCTCTGTTTCAGACATCCAACAGCATCCTTTTTCAGGTGGTAAGTGGGGCCTTTGGGGGGTCTGGTGAACGTTTTAATGTGAGAGCATGCAGCTGCAGCCCAGAGGGAGGAGAAACATCTAACCCCCACCAACAGAAGGTCCTGCTGTCTTTCACTGATGTCCCATTGTTTAAACAGAAAAGCTGTGACTCCTCTAACATTAATAACGTCCTTTATTAAAAGTCTGACCGGATGCTGAGGCTGTGCTACTTTATTAGGTTCCGCTTCTTCTGACAGCTTTATGACAACAAACCCCCCCAGGAAAAATGAAAAGAACTGTTTCCTGTAGTTACCAGCAGTAGAGGCGGTGCAATAACGAGTAAAGATTGGGGTATTTACCCTTTGAATAGGTAAATACATGGGCGTAGGTTTGCATAGGGACCATAGGGACATGTCCCTACCAAAATTTTGGAAGGACCTATTTGTCCCTACCAATAATTGGATGTGAACAACATGTTTATAATTTACTATACAGCAGCCGCTTCTTTTCCTCTCTCAGCTTCTCTGCCTGGTAGCTGCAGCTGCCTGCTCTTTCCTGTCCCTTTCACATAGCAGCGCATCAACTGTGCTGCGCGGTTTAACTCTCTGATTATTCTGCCTTAAGTTCCGCCTTCTCTCTTTCTGATTGCGTGTTTTCTAGTCTGTAGAAAACACCCGCGCGCGCGCACATACAGACGCTAAAGACGCTAAAATAAATTAATATTGGGCTACGAAACTAGTCCGAATTAAAAAAAATATATTATCTACGCTAAAACAGGCGAAAGCTTCTGATTGGAGTTCTGTAAAGAAGCAGGAGAGAGTTTTATTGATTTGTGGAACTTGAGAAATGTAAGTTAACAACGTTATGATTTATTTTATTTTATCTTTTAATCAGATAGCCAAAGGCTCCTTAAAGAAGATCTTTTATGAAATGAAACCAGGTGAAACAGAAACGTTTAAACGTTTCCTTTGGAGGAGTTCTGGATGGAGAATATTGACAGACAAAAACTTTTTTTTTACTTCTTAAATGCTAAATGTTTACATATTTTTTACAATCTTGGTATAATTCCTGCTCTAAGTGGGTCGCTCTGTCGGCTAAAGGCACATTTTAGTGGCCCTATACTCCAGTTTACGATTAATCAATTACTAAATTAGTTCACGATTATTTAAATAATTTGTTAATATGATTAATTGTTTCAGCCATAGATAAAATACATGGAATTAGCTACAGAGTAACTACAGCCCACTTCTAATATTAATATTTTAAATGCTCAGTGTCAGTTCCTCTTCTAGTTCCAGTTCACATGTAAATACAATACATTTATTTTCCATCCCTTGAATGTATTATTATTATTTTTTTTGTATTATTTTGCATGATCCAGAGAGAGCATATTAGATAAAAAAATAAAATAAGAGTGGGTTTTTTACCTCTGCGCAATTCTCTATCTTCAGAAGAAAACACAGGATAAATCCACATATAATAGACTATATTTGGTTAAACAGACACTGTCTTAGTAGCAGGTAAATTTAAATGCAATCCTTTTCAAAGTGGAAAAAGTCCTAATTCCACATTCATCAGAGCCAGTGATGCTTTAAATATTGATAAACAGCATCTAGTGCATGTAGTGCTTATAAGATTTGTATTAATGTAGCAAGAAATGCTGCTGTTCTCTTTAAACAAAATGAGCCCTGAAGCTCACATTAAGCATAAAAAAGATCATGCATATTTTTTGCAAAGGACCAATGAAACTGAAGAATAGTGTCCCTACCAAAGTTGAAATCAAACCTACGCCCTTGGGTAAATAAGATGATTTGCCAATGGAATGAGCATTTTTACTCATAAAATAAGATAATTAGATAATATGCACTTGAAATAAGAGGCTGCAATTGTTTTTTTCTTATTGTAAATGTAAATTGTTGTGCTCCATTTGCAGTGTCTTACTCACCTCCTCCATAAAAGAAAACAAAACGTATTTTAAGAAAAAATGACTGACTTAGATTTACATTTTTGTGGTGAGGTTCCATTTTCTGAGTTTTCGTTGAAACACCTCCTGCAGCCTGATGCAGAAGTTGTCCTAAAACTTTTGCCTTGTGTCTAGTTTTGTCAGTTACTCGACTTTCAGACTGACAGGCGGTCTCTGTAGAACCAGTGAAGCAACCCTAACCCAAACCAGCATCCAGTACCTGCAGTCGTGGCGGCAGCAGTGGAGACAGGCGGGTCTGGGAACAGAACCGTTGGTGGGTTCAGTAGAACCGCCGTCGCTTCATCCAGGTCCCCGGAACCTGACCCCACTGGGATCAGATTCCTCCGGTTGTCACGGCTACCGCTGCGGATCACCTCCTCCTCTCGGAGACCCTCCACTGGAAAACAAAATGCTGGGAGTGATCATCCTTCAGGACGTTCTCAGGTTCTGACAGGTAGAAACTGTTCTGAAGTCTTTATAATTATTTTAACCATAATCTTCACTGCTTTGTAAAGTATCATGGTCAGGATAATCCAATGATTATCATTCACCTGCACCAGCAGAGCTGTTTAAAAGCAGAGTGAAAAGAATAGCGGTGATGCAGCGATCTGCAATTTTACGACATGCTGGGACAGAACTGTGGTCCATTCAGACTGAGAGACAGTTTAAACCAAACAGGACATTTAAAGACCGTCGCAGTTTTATCCTTTCAAGAAACAGGCTGGATTAAAAAAGCAGCGGAGGCTTCAGGAAACCCCTGATCTGAGGTTTGGTTTGTTCTATAAGGTGGTTCACCGCTGTACTAGCACCCAGGGGCGGATTTAGGAAATATGGGGCCCTAGGCAAAGACAGGCAGGGGGCCCTCTGATCTGAGAAGGCAACCCATCAAACAGCCCCATTCTCCAGATGTAGAAATGTTAATAGAATAGACATCCATTATCTGTTCTAGGTTGTGTCCCTCTCTTCTTGTCCCTTTTCTTCTTGTTTTCCTCTCTATGTTTTGTACTCAGCTGACTTTTCATGCTGTCTCTAAAGGAATGAAAGATTTTTTCCAAGCACTAAGCTCACTTAGCTGATTGCTCCTTCCTGTGTTTCCAAAAAGGCCAAAGTAAATAACCCAGTCCTTCTTTTCACTGTAGACAAGCCATGATCTGCTTATCTGTTCTCCATGTTTCATTTGGATGAAATAATAGCTGCATGAATCATGACAGCAGACAAGATAGAGGAGAGCAGGAGGCGGGGTTACCAATCTACTTGCTCTGGAGAGCAGAGTTCGCTGCTTTTAGATGTTGTCTCCAAAGTCTCCAGTAGCAGAAAAAAGTCTCTAGATTTGGCGCTAGGAGCTTTTTAGAAATCAAAGTGCTAGAGGGGTCTGAAAAGTGGCTAAATATAGCGACTAAAGCGCTAAGTTGGCAACACTGCTCTTTGCATGGCTTGTTTTCAAATGGTTTGCTGCTGTCTGTTTGGACCTTTCTGAACATGTGCAGCAAATGGACTGATCCAATATGGTGGACACTGAAGGGGGGGGCTGAGACACACTTAATATTATCAGCGTTCTGATGGCATTTTAGCCAAAGGATTTCATCAAAAACATAATTAATGTGCACAGATAAGGAATAACTGTATTAACATTACATGGAAACAGAGTTTTATGGGGCCGCCAGTAACTAGGGGCCCATCCATCCCAACCATAGTTCCACTGATATTATCCATGATCAGAACAACAGGGATGATGGAAAAAACATAATTTTAAGTCAAGACTAATTGGAATCTCTATGAACTAAAGAGTAAAATCAGTCCAGGAAGTTTGGTTGGTGCTTCTAGTATTAAACCGATGGCTTCATTCATCAATGAAATACTCATTATTTTCAATAGAAGTTCTGGGGAACAGAAATCTTTAAGCAAACCTGAACGTCAAACATAAAAAAAAATAATTTTTGTCCTAAATTACAACAGATTTATTTTCTGTAATTAAATTATGCAAAAAAGGCAAATGTCTGGTGTTTTCTCAGACAGAGCTCACAACAATCAACAGAGGTTGAGATGTTACAACGTAGGAGCTTCCTAAAGAGAGGAATCCAGAGCAGCCTGGGCTTGGAGTGGGAAGAGGCCCTGAGGGGCAGATTCCCAGACTGCCATCCTATCCATGTCAGGCTGTTTGCTTTCTGATGTGCCTGGACACGCTCAGCTCTGCACAAACCTACCGTCACCTTGCATGTTTTCCAGCTAGCTGTAGGGTCTACTGAGCCCCGGGACAGGAACACATCCCATTGACTGGAAATATGAAATGTCAGGAGGACACCAGCTGACAGGTTCCTCTGACTTCACCTCAGACGTTTCCATCACACATAATCCTCCGTTCTCCAGATCCTAAACTGATTCTCAAACTGTTGAGGCAAAAGACTATCGTAAGAACTGAGCCTGGGTTGGGCTGGACACAGAGACTAAATGGATGAAGAGCAGCTTTACGCCCAGGTTAGATGGTGTGTCTGTAATGCAGAGGTTTGTCTGCAGTCAGGTTACTGACACCGATTATCAGAAAGACAAACTTTCTTCCAAACCTGCCTGCAGAGCCTTAACCTGCAGACTGCCTGACAGCTTTAGGGAATGACCTGCAGAGCCTGGATAAAGAACCCAACCTAAATCTGCATCCACATCTGTTGTTGATGCTGAGCTTCTTACAGGTGAATCTTCTTTTTGCCAGAAGCTTCTCTGTGGTCCCGTTCAGGACGAAGACTTGGAGCGAGTATTCCTGGCTGGAGTCCAGTCCTGCCACGGTGGCCCGGCCCCTGGTGGTGGTCAGCATTAGCTCTGGCTGCTGCTCTTCTAGGAAGGAAAACAATGATGCATTATCCTCCCAGAGCTTCTTCACGTCTCACTTCCTGTTCATGTGCTTCACTCTATGCTGCAAGATCTGCTGTCTAGATCTTACCTGGAGATCTAACCCCAAAAGTATTGATACTTTACAGTCTAAAAACCAGACACGTCCATGTAAACTAACAGCTCTAAATGTGACAGACCGAACGGTAAATGGTTTAAACTGGGCTCTGAGCTCCTGGAAGGCTCCGCTTCCTCCTCCACCAAATGGACCACAGACCTTCAGCTCGTGCTACAAGCTAAGGTCTGTAGCTCAGTGTGAGGCTGTTACTCTGCACCGCTGATAGAAACATGTCTTTAACTGCAGCATCAGGTGGTTCTAGATAATCAGGAGGAAGTAAATAGGATTTATAGATGTTAAAAATAATCCAACTGAAATCTGTGACCATCCCCTCCAGTAAACACTTTAAAGCTTCTGACTCCAAACTGGTATAAACTTCAGTTTTTACACTAATCTTACGTCAGAACATTTTTTATAGTGCAGCACTTAAAATGATAACAGAGCTTTCATGTGATTACATGAAGATTCAGCTCAGATTAACATATTTTCTTGTCATTCCCTCCACTGTGATTACAAATAAATAAACCCAAAATCATTTAACATTTCTCTAACCTCCCCCTTACTCTTCACACAGAGCTGCAGCAAACAGGATTTTCTGACAAATCAAATCTAAATACGCTCTAATTGAGCACTGCAGAAAGCCAGAGTAGGGGTCATGGAGTTCACCAATCTTTGTAGCAACATGCAGAATTCACTGTTTCCTCAACCTCAAACCTGCCAGGTGTTATTATCATCATCAACACCTTTTAAATTCTCCTTTACGAGTCAGTGACCATTTCTGGAGTAAAGGTTTTTAAAGCTGAGGTTATGGAGGGAAGCAAAGAGATCCAAACACCTAAAACCACTAAAACAGTATTCAGAGATCCTGAATCTTTCACATGTTTTATAATGTAACCAAAAGCGTTAGAGTCAGTTTTGGTTTTGATTAACACAGAGTGGTATGTATCTTTGAAGAGGAGGACCTGCTGGACCTGGTCATAAAGCCATAACCCAACTGGACCTGGTCATAAAGCCATGACCCAACTGGACCTGGTCATAAAGCCATGACCCAACTGGACCTGGTCATAAAGCCATGACCCAGCTGGACCTGGTCATAAAGCCATGACCCAGCTGGACCTGGTCATAAAGCCATGACCCAACTGGACCTGGTCATAAAGCCATGACCCAGCTGGACCTGGTCATAAAGCCATGACCCAACTGGACCTGGTCATAAAGCCATGACCCAGCTGGACCTGGTCATAAAGCCATGACCCAACTGGACCTGGTCATAAAGCCATGACCCAACTGGACCTGGTCATAAAGCCATGACCCAGCTGGACCTGGTCATAAAGCCATGACCCAACTGGACCTGGTCATAAAGCCATGCCCAACTGGACCTGGTCATAAAGCCATAACCCAACTGGACCTGGTCATAAAGCCATGCCCAACTGGACCTGGTCATAAAGCCATAACCCAACTGGACCTGGTCATAAAGCCATGACCCAGCTGGACCTGGTCTTAAAGCCATGACCCAACTGGACCTGGTCATAAAGCCATAACCCAACTGGACCTGGTCATAAAGCCATGACCCAGCTGGACCTGGTCATAAAGCCATGACCCAACTGGACCTGGTCATAAAGCCATAACCCACTTGGACCTGGTCATAAAGCCATGACCCAACTGGACCTGATCATAAAGCCATAACCCAATTGGACCTGATCATAAAGCCATGCCCAACTGGACCTGGTCATAAAGCCATGACCCAGCTGGACCTGGTCATAAAGCCATGACCCAACTGGACCTGGTCATAAAGCCATGCCCAACTGGACCTGGTCATAAAGCCATAACCCAACTGGACCTGGTCATAAAGCCATGACCCAGCTGGACCTGGTCATAAAGCCATGACCCAACTGGACCTGGTCATAAAGCCATAACCCACTTGGACCTGGTCATAAAGCCATGACCCAACTGGACCTGATCATAAAGCCATAACCCAATTGGACCTGATCATAAAGCCATGACCCAACTGGACCTGATCATAAAGCCATGACCCAACTGGACCTGGTCATAAAGCCATAACCCAACTGGACCTGGTCATAAAGCCATGACCCAACTGGACCTGGTCATAAAGCCATGACCCAACTGGAACTGGTCATAAAGCCATGACCCAACTGGACCTGGTCATAAAGCCATGACCCAACTGGACCTGGTCATAAAGCCATGACCCAACTGGAACTGGTCATAAAGCCATGACCCAACTGGACCTGGTCATAAAGCCATGACCCAACTGGAACTGGTCATAAAGCCATGACCCAGCTGGACCTGGTCATAAAGCCATAACCCAACTGGACCTGGTCATAAAGCCATGACCCAACTGGACCTGGTCATAAAGCCATAACCCAACTGGACCTGATCATAAAGCCATGACCCAACTGGACCTGGTCATAAAGCCATAACCCACTTGGACCTGGTCATAAAGCTATAACCCAACTGGACCTGATCATAAAGCCATGACCCAACTGGACCTGGTCATAAAGCCATGACCCAACTGGACCTGGTCATAAAGCCATGACCCAGCTGGACCTGGTCATAAAGCCATGACCCAACTGGACCTGGTCATAAAGCCATGACCCAGCTGGACCTGGTCATAAAGCCATGACCCAACTGGACCTGGTCATAAAGCCATGACCCAACTGGACCTGGTCATAAAGCCATAACCCAACTAGACCTGGTCATAAAGCCATGACCCAACTGGACCTGGTCATAAAGCCATGACCCAACTGGAACTGGTCATAAAGCCATAACCCAATTGGACCTGGTCATAAAGCCATGACCCAGCTGGACCTGGTCATAAAGCCATAACCCAACTAGACCTGGTCATAAAGCCATGACCCAACTGGACCTGGTCATAAAGCCATGACCCAACTGGACCTGGTCATAAAGCCATGACCCAGCTGGACCTGATCATAAAGCCATGACCCAACTGGACCTGGTCATAAAGCCATGACCCAACTGGACCTGATCATAAAGCCATGACCCAACTGGACCTGATCATAAAGCCATGACCCAGCTGGACCTGGTCATAAAGCCATGACCCAACTGGACCTGGTCATAAAGCCATGACCCAACTGGACCTGATCATAAAGCCATGACCCAACTGGACCTGATCATAAAGCCATGACCCAGCTGGACCTGGTCATAAAGCCATGACCCAACTGGACCTGGTCATAAAGCCATGACCCAGCTGGACCTGATCATAAAGCCATGACCCAACTGGACCTGGTCATAAAGCCATGACCCAACTGGACCTGGTCATAAAGCCATGACCCAGCTGGACCTGGTCGTAAACCCATGACCCAACTGGACCTGATCATAAAGCCATGACCCAACTGGACCTGGTCATAAAGCCATGACCCAACTGGAACTGGTCATAAAGCCATAACCCAATTGGACCTGGTCATAAAGCCATGACCCAGCTGGACCTGGTCATAAAGCCATAACCCAACTAGACCTGGTCATAAAGCCATGACCCAACTGGACCTGGTCATAAAGCCATGACCCAGCTGGACCTGGTCATAAAGCCATGACCCAACTGGACCTGGTCATAAAGCCATGACCCAGCTGGACCTGATCATAAAGCCATGACCCAACTGGACCTGGTCATAAAGCCATGACCCAACTGGACCTGGTCATAAAGCCATGACCCAACTGGACCTGGTCATAAAGCCATGACCCAGCTGGACCTGATCATAAAGCCATGACCCAACTGGACCTGGTCATAAAGCCATGACCCAACTGGACCTGGTCATAAAGCCATGACCCAACTGGACCTGATCATAAAGCCATGACCCAACTGGACCTGATCATAAAGCCATAACCCAACTGGACCTGATCATAAAGCCATGACCCAACTGGAACTGGTCATAAAGCCATGACCCAGCTGGACCTGGTCATAAAGCCATAACCCAACTGGACCTGGTCATAAAGCCATGACCCAACTGGACCTGGTCATAAAGCCATAACCCAACTGGACCTGATCATAAAGCCATGACCCAACTGGACCTGGTCATAAAGCCATAACCCACTTGGACCTGGTCATAAAGCCATAACCCAACTGGACCTGATCATAAAGCCATGACCCAACTGGAACTGGTCATAAAGCCATGACCCAGCTGGACCTGGTCATAAAGCCATAACCCAACTGGACCTGGTCATAAAGCCATGACCCAACTGGACCTGGTCATAAAGCCATAACCCAACTGGACCTGATCATAAAGCCATGACCCAACTGGACCTGGTCATAAAGCCATAACCCACTTGGACCTGGTCATAAAGCTATAACCCAACTGGACCTGATCATAAAGCCATGACCCAACTGGACCTGGTCATAAAGCCATGACCCAACTGGACCTGGTCATAAAGCCATGACCCAGCTGGACCTGGTCATAAAGCCATGACCCAACTGGACCTGGTCATAAAGCCATGACCCAGCTGGACCTGGTCATAAAGCCATGACCCAACTGGACCTGGTCATAAAGCCATGACCCAGCTGGACCTGGTCGTAAACCCATGACCCAACTGGACCTGATCATAAAGCCATGACCCAACTGGACCTGGTCATAAAGCCATGACCCAACTGGAACTGGTCATAAAGCCATAACCCAATTGGACCTGGTCATAAAGCCATGACCCAGCTGGACCTGGTCATAAAGCCATAACCCAACTAGACCTGGTCATAAAGCCATGACCCAACTGGACCTGGTCATAAAGCCATGACCCAGCTGGACCTGGTCATAAAGCCATGACCCAACTGGACCTGGTCATAAAGCCATGACCCAGCTGGACCTGATCATAAAGCCATGACCCAACTGGACCTGGTCATAAAGCCATGACCCAACTGGACCTGGTCATAAAGCCATGACCCAACTGGACCTGGTCATAAAGCCATGACCCAGCTGGACCTGATCATAAAGCCATGACCCAACTGGACCTGGTCATAAAGCCATGACCCAACTGGACCTGGTCATAAAGCCATGACCCAACTGGACCTGATCATAAAGCCATGACCCAACTGGACCTGATCATAAAGCCATAACCCAACTGGACCTGATCATAAAGCCATGACCCAACTGGACCTGATCATAAAGCCATAACCCAGCAGGCAGAGCATTCTGGGTTGGCAGCCTTGGGCTGCAATTTACTGTCTTCTCCCATGTGCCGGTTAGACCTACAGCTTGATCCCCCCAGCATAAATCAGAACCCCTGCTTTGTGCCAGAAACCTCAAAAATGTGACGAGCTTCAATGATTTTCCAACAAGAAGAACAGAGTTATTCCACATCCACCGTTAGTATCAGAGGTTTCCTTCTCCAGTCCGACACAGCTAAAGAAGATGTTCATACCTGACAAGGTTCTGACCCGAACTTTGTAGCCTTGAACGGGTCCATCGGCCTCCTTCCACTTCATCTGCAGCCGATCTTCAGACAGAACCGTCAGCTTCAGGCGACCTTAGTGGACACAAAGAGACTCTAAGATCAAAGACCAGGAAGCCATCTTGATTGCCTCCTGAACTACTCAAGCCTCTCAAATCATCTGCATAATTTCCAGAAGGGGTTTTCAAACAGGCCATGTCTTTCATGTTGCCATCATCCCGGCCTCTGTCCAGCTGCCCCCCCTCCCCCATCCATCAAAGCCAGTCTTGTCCTCTGGACTGAAGCAGAAACACGAACATGACTCCAGCAGGGTCAAAGAGCATGTCAGAGAGACATCCCTCACGTACAGTGCAACAAAGATGCATATTAAATACAGCAGCTTAATGCCGGCAGAGGAAGAGGACAAAACGGAAATGAGGAAGACGGAGAGCAAACATGAACATGGAGAATCCCACAAGCAGATCTTTGGACCTCCAGCATTCAACAGATCCTTTCTAACTTGGAGGGTAAAGGTTGGTGTGTGTGTTCAGACTGAACTTTGTAGTGAAAGGGTTAAAGTTTCAAAGAGAACCTTCAACAAGAGCAGCGTTTCTAGACGGACGGAAATGCTAAAGAAAGCCTGATCTATGCTCTAATAAAGATCTGTGAAAGCAGCATACTTTGTAAAACACGCGTGTCAATAAGAGTTTCTTTGACAAATTACAACCAAAAGCCTTTAAAAACAAAAATATATCGGAAGGTAAATGGGTACATTTCCAAAAAAGTGTTTAGGAATTACCCTGGCCATGGACTCCAGAGGACAGCAGCAGGAGGACACTGAGCAGCAGACTCAGCTTCAGCCAGAGGGACGACGCTCTGGATGCTTGCAGGTCAGAAGACATGAGTGGAGCCTGAAACAGTAAAGCAACACAGCTTCAGTGCTTAGCTAAAGGAATTCCTGTCCCAGATAGAGGTCTCTGGTCCCATCTACGTTTGTTTATTATTTATTTCGTCCTCATTTTTCTTTTCTTTTATTCTTTTAAGAGCAGACCCCTCATTTCCTTCATGGTCTGGTTCTTGATGCAACACAGCACAACTCAAACAGATTAGCACTTTCTTTGACTCATAAAGTCCTCTGTGGCTCTGGACTGCAGGCAGGACACAGGTGCATTGCAGCTATGGTAAAGGTTCTGGACGGTGTCATGGTAGGACAGCAGGCAGGTCTTTACTGCCACCTTTGCTGACCTTGCAAAGGCCTTTTCTTGTGTCCATCAATAGATCCATCTTAAAAGGCTTTTTGGTATCAATCTGTGCGAAAGCTGTTGTCACTAGTTTGCCTTCTAGCTTTCCAACAAAGTCCAGAAGGTGAAGGTTAAAATGTCACATCAAAGCTACTATATGTCTCTATGATGGGGGGGCCACAGGTCTCCATCCTAGTGCTCACCGTTTTTCTTATTTTTTATTTACCGAATAAACTGGTAGCTCTAGAGTCCACCAATACGCTGATGATACTATCTTATAAGCTGTTGGTCCTTCCTGGCAGCTTTTAGCCTTCAGCTCGGTCTTAAGTTCAGTCCTGAGCTCAAATTTAATCTAAATGCTACAGAAAACTCCAAAACTAAAGGGCGTGCATCGCTTTAGTCATGAACAAAAAAAACTTTTTAATAACTTAGTTATTGGTGTTTTTTGAAGCGTATGGCGATCTGACCTTAAATAGTTTTTTGTACATGAATAAAGGGAAACACACCCGTCGAAATAGATTAAAGGGTGTTTTTCCTGCTAAACTAAAGGGATAAACTAGATCAGCTTCTGCGTATGGTAATCTGATGTTCTGCGCATGCGTATTAACTATGGGTATACTGGTCTGATGGGGTATGCTGGTCTGATGGGGTATGCTGGTCTGATGGGGTATGCTGGTCTGATGGGGTATACTGGTCTGATGAGGTATGCTAGTCTGATGAGGTATGCTAGTCTGATGGGGTATGCTGGTCTGATGAGGTATGCTGGTCTGATGGGGTATGCTGGTCTGATGGAGTATGCTGGTCTGATGGAGTATGCTGGTCTGATGGGGTATGCTGGTCTGACGGGGTATGCTGGTCTGATGAGGTATGCTAGTCTGATGGGGTATGCTGGTCTGATGGAGTATGCTGGTCTGATGGAGTATGCTGGTCTGATGGGGTATGCTGGTCTGACGGGGTATGCTGGTCTGATGAGGTATGCTAGTCTGATGGGGTATGCTGGTCTGATGAGGTATGCTAGTCTGATGGGGTATGCTGGTCTGATGGGGCATGCTGGTCTGATGAGGTATGCTAGTCTGATGGGGTATGCTGGTCTGATGAGGTATGCTAGTCTGAAGGGGTATGCTGGTCTGATGGAGTATGCTGGTCTGATGAGGTATGCTAGTCTGATGGGGTATGCTGGTCTGATGGAGTATGCTGGTCTGATGGGGTATGCTGGTCTGATGGAGTATGCTGGTCTGATGGAGTATGCTGGTCTGATGGGGTATGCTGGTCTGATGGGGTATGCTGGTCTGATGAGGTATGCTAGTCTGATGGGGTATGCTGGTCTGATGGAGTATGCTGGTCTGATGGAGTATGCTGGTCTGATGGGGTATGCTGGTCTGACGGGGTATGCTGGTCTGATGAGGTATGCTAGTCTGATGGGGTATGCTGGTCTGACGGGGTATGCTGGTCTGACAGAACAACGGTTAGGATTATACATGACATTTTTGTTCTGAATGACTCCCAGGTCTGACCTGAAGGTAAAGACGACATAATCCTCCAATGTGGTTAAGAAATTAGAAAATTAATCACCAATGCTTTTGAAATCCTGATGAAGAACTGATCTGGATTGTTTGAAATATTCTGCAGACAAACTTCCTGGAAGCAAAACATGAAAAGGAAAAAAATAAGTCTAGACTTTTTGGGAGCCAATTTTTTTGCCTGATTACCTCCTAAGTGAGGAAAAGCCGTCTGCTTAACTTTTCCCATGAGAACTTTACTTGAAAGGACCCAGACTACAGATTAGACCCTGACACTTCAAACGAATAATGACACGCTGGATGATAAGAGGCCAAGAAGCCTCCAGTCCTCATTAAACATTAAAGCATTAAATGCAGAAAGCCTGTCATGTTTTCTGACCATGAAAATAAGATCCCTTATCTTCATCCAAATAATAATCTATGCAGGTTTTACCTTAACTGGTGTCTTATGGCGTCTTGTCATTAAAATCAGTCAGAACAATGATGCCAAGTTAATCTGCATTTTCTCAGATTTGTGACCAAAGAGGTTCAAAAGTCAACAAAGGTTGGAAATCACTGATCTGCTGCTGGAACAAGTCAATCATCTAAGCTTTAGGTCAACCTGGAGGAACCAATCAGACTCCTCTAGGGCCACCAGGGGTGGATGTAGGAAATCTGGGGCCCTAGGCAAAGACAGGCAGGGGGCCCAGCCCCATTCTCCAGATAGAGAAATGTTAATAGAATAGACATCCATTCTCTGTTCTAGGTTGTGTCCCTCTCTTCTTGTCCCTTTTCTTCTTGTTTTCCTCTCTATGTTTTGTACTCAGCTGACTTTTCATGCTGTCTCTAAAGGAATGAAAGATTTTTTCCAAGCACTAAGCTCACTTAGCTGATTGCTCCTTCCTGTGTTTCCAAAAAGGCCAAAGTAAATAACCCAGTCCTTCTTTTCACTGTAGACAAGCCATGATCTGCTTATCTGTTCTCCATTTTTCATTTGGATGAAATAATAGCTGCATGAATCATGACAGCAGACAAGATAGAGGAGAGCAGGAGGCGGGGTTACCAATCTACTCGCTCTGGAGAGCAGAGTTCGCTGCTTTTAGATGTTGTCTCCAAAGTCTCCAGTAGCAGAAAAAAGTCTCTAGATTTGGCGCTAGGAGCTTTTTAGAAATCAAAGTGCTAGAGGGGTCTGAAAAGTGGCTAAATATAGCGACTAAAGCGCTAAGTTGGCAACACTGCTCTTTGCATGGTTTGTTTTCAAATGGTTTGCTGCTGTCTGTTTGGACCTTTCTGAACATGTGCAGCAAATGGACTGATCCAATATGGTGGACACTGAAGGGGGGGGCTGAGACACACTTAATTTTATCAGCGTTCTGATGGCATTTTAGCAAAAGGATTTTTATCAAAAACATAATTAATGTGCAGAAATAAGGAATAGTTGTATTAACCATACATGGAAACAGAGTGTTATGGGCCCCCAGGAACTTTGGGCCCTAGGCGATTGCCTAGTATTGCCTAATGGTAACCCCCCCCCCCCCTGCTAGCAACCAAAGTTCGACTGATATTATCCATGATCAGAACAAGACTAAGTCAAGACTAATTGGAATCTCTATGAACTGAAGAGTAAAATCAGTCCAGGAAGTTTGGTTGGTGCTTCTAGTATTAAACCGATGGCTTCATTCATCAATGAAATACTCATTATTTTCAATAGAAGTTCTGAGGAACAGAAATCTTTAAGCAAACCTGAAAGTCAAACATAAAAAAAAATCATTTTTGTCCTAAATTACAACATAATTTTTTTTGTCACCATGCCCCCCCTTAGCTCCGCCCCTGGTCACCAAAGGCTTTCTCTAATGAAAGTGCTGTAGTTCTTATAGTGCTGCAGGTGACCTCTCTCCATGGTTAATGTCAGATGTCAGACGGTGTTTGTGATGCAATAAAAACCTCGATGGAATAAAACCCAGGAACCGCCTCTATATTCATTAGGGGTTGATAGGATGGGCTTTTATTTAATGTCATATTAATATGGAGGACTGAATAAAACACTCAAAGATAAACTTTACTTTTAAGTGTACTTTCTGGGTAAATGTGGCTTTTTAAACCTTTAATGCTAAAGAAACATCCTGGTTAGATTTAAAAATATAACAAAAAAATCAAAGAATAAATGTTTAAAATCTCAAAGAAACCGTTTTCCTTATAGGCTAAATATATTTATTTAATCTTAGTTTTAAAAGAGCAAAAGACAAACGTGTCCTTAGCTAAAGATCAGCTCAATGTTTTTAACAAATAGGTTTTTTAATAACTTTTCTTTAAAGTTTATATCAGATAAGCAGGCCTAACGGGAGGCTTCAGCTTCAGCCTGGATTAAATGGGATTAAAATGAGATGAGTTGAACTGACCTGAAGCTAAGGCAGGTCTCTCCGGGGTCCGTCCAGATGTTTCCTGCTCTTCAACAGGAGGAGGTTGAAGCTGGAAAAACATAGAGGTGTTCCACCATCTCAGGAGCTGTGGGTTCGAGCAGCAGCCAGGTGTGTCTTACCTTCCAGGTGATCCGCTCAGATGGCAGCGGGAAGCAGCTCTCTTTGTGTGGGACGGTGGAGGAGCTGAGGGCTGCGCTGCTCCATGGGAGGGGCTCTGAGAGGAATGCTGCCTGCTCTCAGTCTGCTTCCTGCTTTAGGTTCCACCTTCATGAAGAGGAGGAGAGTCTGCAGCATTTAGACCCACATGCTGCAGAAAACTGCTAAATCCGCCTGAAAGGAAAAACCCAGAAACAGGAGGAACACAGGCTGGAAAATAAAAACCGTAGAATTATAATAATTTATTAAACATTAATAACAAAAACAATCACAAAACTAAACATATTAACACTAAAAGCTGCTGAGCTCCAGTTTTATTGGCAAAAACTGATTAGAAGTGATGAAAATCATTTTTGATCAAAGGTGAAAAAATCAAATTCCTACTTATAAAATTTAAGGGTAAAATTTATCTCCTCTCAAGCAAAAATAAAATGTGCGATTATTCCTCCACTGACTTCAGATCAGCAGAGTTCATACAGGTGATGAACCACAGCTGACAGGTTAGGCTCAGAAAAATCTATAAACACGGGCAGAACATTAGAATTATAATAATAATAAAAAAAATGCATTTCTGTCTGAATATAAATAAAAATCTACATCTATATTCTACATCTATATAAATGTTGTGTTTATATGTAAATTGTTAATCTATATATGAATCCATATATTGTGTCTAAGTCTAAATATGTATCTAGCAATCTATTCAGTTTATTTCTATAGCTCCAATTCACATCATGTCATCTCAGGTCACTTTCCAGTTCACCAGATCATCCAGTCAGATTGATTCAAAGTTTTCTATCTAAGGAAAACCAGCTGATTGCATCGACTCATTGACTCTTCAGCATTGACTCTTCAGCAATCCCTCACACTAAGCATGCTTGCAGCGACAGTGGAGAGGAAAAACTCCCTTTGAACAGGAAGAAACCTCCAGCAGAACCAGGCTCAGTGTGAGCGGCCATCTGCTGAGGCCCACTGGGGTTCAAGGAGACAGAAGCAGACATAGAAAAAGAAGCATAGATACAAAAGGCAACTGTCAACCAGCTCCACAGGCGGCCCCGTCCAGGAAACACACAGCCAGGCAGACGAGCTCCGAGCCAGCTCCCATGTCAGAGGATGAAGAGAGCACATCCAGTTAGTCACAGTCAGAGAAACAGGACTACACTGGAAAACAGGCCTGTTGGGAGCTGGAGAAGTTCCACCTTCCTCCAGCAGAGTCCGCCGTGGATCCTCCTGAGCTGAGCTGCCTTCACACCTGTGACTGATCATCTCATCAGGAGGACCACAGTATTTAAGCTGTCTTCAGACCTTGCCTCGACGCCGCAGTGTTTAATCAGTTTGGTTAGCACCTAAGCCTAGAACCTCCTGAGAACTTTGCTATCTCTGAGTCCAGTTTGGATTCTAACCTTTTGTCTCTGCTTCCAGGTTACCTGTTTTTCACCTGTGAAGCTCTGGAAGAGCTTAACCTGCCGAGCCTGCCCTCTGAGCCAAACCTGAAGACTCTCCTCTGGATTTCCAAGCAGCTCTGGATTTAGAGCTGGAAACTCAAACCAAGGTCAACACCCTCACTAGAAGTAAGACGCTGAAACGGTTATCGGACTCTGCTGAACCAAACCATCTCCGGACCCAACAGTTCCTCTCCCAAAGTCTCTTCTATGCATCTCAAGGTACAAACCAGAAACTCTCAAGATCAATTCCTACCAAGCCAACGCTAACTGAACTGTCTCCCTCACAGACTCCAGTGAACCAGTCCCCAGGCCTGAACCAGCAAACTGTACATTTACTACGTGCTTGTGTTACAATAAACTTGTTAACCTTTCCCCTGAGTCCGTTGTGTTCTGCATCTTGGGCATCTCAGTAAACCCATCATGACAAGGCCAAGCTCCAACATCTAGAAACAAAGGTGTTGATGGCAGCAGCACAGCTGATATTTCTCTCCAGGATGGAGTCACAGCCAAACAGGAACAGACCAGATGAAGCTACTATGAGAAAAAGCAGAGAGAGCAGAACGTTAGAGATTGAACTAACAGATTCTGCAGAGTGGGAGAATAGAGATAGAATGAAGCAGAATGATGAAAAAGGGGTCCCTATGTCCTCCAGCAGTCTAAGCCTATAGCAGCAGAACTATAGAGATAGAATGAAGCAGAATGATGAAAAGGGAACCCTATGTCCTCCAGCAGTCTTAGCCTATAGCAGCATAGCTATAGAGATAGCTCAGGATAACCTGAGCCACTCTAACTAGAAGCTTTATCAAAAAGGAAAGTTTTAAGCCTAGCCTTAAAAGTAGACAGGGTGTCTGCCTCACGGACTAAATTTAAATTTAGTTTTTCCTGTTTAGATTTTGAAGATATGAGTTTAGAGTTAAGATAGATAAAAATATTAAAAGCTTGGAATATAAATTTAAGATATGTATTTAGATTTAAGATTTGATGCATATATTTCAATTTAGATGTATATTAAGTCCTTGTTTTCATTTTCTAATAAATAACATAGATGTTTTTTATGACCCTAACTGTCAGCTGTCCTTCACTCACCTTTATTAACTCTATTAACTAAAATTTCACATTTTGTGTTTGCTTGAGAAGAAATAAATTTTATCCTGAAATATGAGCTGATGTTAAGTAGGACCTCAGCAGCTTTCAGTATTAATATTTTCAGTGTGTGATCATGAGGAGAGAAGGTTAAATGCTACAGGACTTCCAGCTGCTCCCTGCTGCTGGGACGGATGCCCCCCCCATGGCTACAGCACTGCAGACTTTACACTATAGAAGCCCCCAAGCAGAAAGCAGTGCAATAGATGTAGTAGCTATAAAAAAATAAATAAAAATGATGTCAGAAAACGAAGGATTTCAGTGGGACCTGCTTTAAAACCAGACAGTTCTGGTTAAAGCTTACAGACGTCTATGCAGATGCCTTATGTAAAGCCTACAGCAGGAAACTAAAGAATATCTGAACGTTTGCTCTATAAACAGCATGCAGCTCAGCTGTACTTAAACCAGAGGAGTTCTGGTCCCTCTCACGGATAATTACAGGTTTATAAACCAAACAGCTGGTTTGCAGGTGGTCTCTACCTGATTAATGACGGATGGTGGGACAGCATGGCCACCTGTGGAAATCATCCATCCATTTAAGTCCATCTCTAAATTATTACATTAATATTTCAGTTTTAAAATACTTAATTGATCCAAAGGGGGAAAATGTTTTAGTTTTTTTCCTTGTCCAGTTATTGTCGGTGTTGATGCTGTAGGCAGAAAGGACGTCAGTAGCAGCCTGTCTTTGATTGAAGACTCTCTGATGAAGAGGAGGCTCACTGAAGTCCATCATCTTCTTCACTTTATGCAGAACCCGTCTCTGTGAAATCATCTCCAGAGGTTCTGTAGGAGTTTGCCGACCTTCTTTATCAGCTGGTTGAGCTTCTTCCAGTCATTAGCTCAGATGCTGTCACCCCAGCAGATCATGGAGGAACAGATCAGACTATCCACAGCAGACTGCTAGAAGATCTTCCGCCTCTGAAGGACCTCAGCTTCCTCTAGAAGTCCAGTCTGATCTGTCCCTTCATGCAGACGGCTTCAGGTGTGTCTCCAGTCCAGGTTGTTGTCCAGGTGAACACCAAGGGATTTATAATCCTCCACTTCTTCTCTCAGGATGTTAAAGTGATTCAACTTGTTCCTGTTTCTTCTGAAATCTCCAATCATCTCGTTTTGTTGACCTTCAGGATCAGATGATCGTTTCCACACCATGCCACAAAGCGCTTCACCAGCTCTCTGTCCTCAGCTTCTGCTCCATCTTTGATGCTCCCAATGACTGCAGAGTATTTCTGCAGATGGCAGGACTCCTTCTGGTCCTGGAAGTCAGACGTTTACATCGTAAAAAGAAATGGAAGGAGTACCGTGATGCGATTATCACCAACAATTCATTATTATTGGTGCTGCTGCCATCAACACCTTTGTTTCTAGATGTTGGAGCTTGGCCTGTTTTCAAGTGTAGTCCTGTTTCTCTGACTGTGACTAACTGGATGTGCATGGACCTGAGATGACATGATGTGAGCTGGTGCTATAGAAATACACTGAATAGAATATTATTACCTATTAGTCTTGTTAAACGTGTTTGGGAATAACAGGAATCCTGTCTTATAGTTGCATCTCATCAGGACAGCAGCTGCTGGCACAGATAAATCCAAACTCCATGTGGCCTTCAGAGGAGCTCTAGAAAGAGATGCAGATCTCCATGGTCTCCATCCAAGCCACACGTCAGCAGCTGCATTGTTTTTTCCACATCTGGAATCAGAAGGCAGGATTCCTTCAAACAACCAGAACCGTCTCCTGAGGCAGGGCAATGGTTGCTTCTGCAGTCATTCCTGCTAAAGGGTTCCCCACCAAGTACTGAGTGAATAACTGTACAGAATTATTTGGAGGTTGACTTTTTTTATTAGGAAAACTTTTCTTTTATTGGTCGGATGAAATATGCTAACTTGGTGAGATAGGAATGTTGGGTTTTCATGAGCTGGATGCTAAAATCATCCGTATGAAGACAATAAAAGACCTGAAATATTTCAGTTAGTGTGCAATGAATCTAAAATCTATGAATGTTCAAGTTTTATCATTGAATTATGGAAAATAATGAACTTTATGACAATATGCTAATATTTAGAGAGGGAGCTGTAGATACTGGTGGGGAGCGACTGGTTGGGGATGTGTTGCTAAGGGTCTGAGGTCAGTTCATAGAAACTAATAATTTATACACATGGTAAAAAACACAAAACAAGTTTCTGAAAAACTAACAGTCACATGGTTCCTGTCTCTGAATGACTGAATCAATCCTGCTGAAAACTTCAGGACAATAAAACAGTTTTAATCTACTTTTCTGAATCCAAGAGTGGAAATCATCTGGAAGATATTTACGTGACAGGAAAAAAGAAAAGTTGAGTCAGAATTGAAATATCAGAATCATAATAGACTCTAAACTAACTTTTAAATCCCAGATTAAAAAAGAAAGTTATCCAATAGAATCAAATTCTATATTATAAATCTCTGTTTCATAAGATCAAACTGGTCACTGCAGGCAGCTTCATGTACAGCTTGGTTCCGTCCCGCATCACCTACTGTCTTACAACCTGGTCAGTCAAATAAAACTAAACTAAAACCTTTAGAATCTCTTTAAAATCAACATTTTAGATAAAAACCCATCAAACTATCACCATGGAGCCATTTTACTAAAACAACCTGCTGGTCCTGCATTGAATGCTGGGAAGCCTCTTCCCAGAGGGCAGCAGGGAGAACAGTCCATGGTGGGGGGTGAGGGGTCATTGATGATGTCACGGGACACGCAGCGCTGGGATGAAATGTCTTTAATGGAGGGAAGAGGAGCCCCCATGATCCTCTCTGCTGTTCTCACCTTCTTCCAGTCTGAGGCGCTGCAGCCTCCACACCACACAGTGAGACAGCTGCTCAGAACGCTCTCTATGGAGCTTCTGGAGAAGGTGGGGAGGATGGGGGGGCAGAACGCTCTCTATGGTGCTTCTGGAGAAGGTGGGGAGGATGGGGGGGCACTTCATCATGATGGGAGTCAGAGCGACGGGCCGCTAATCATTGAGGGAGGTGACCTCAGAACATCAGAGAACTTACAACAGACACTATTTTCAAAAAGTCTTATCAGCATTAGTTGAATATTTTCCATTAACCGTGCTGCTACTTGCATCTCTGCTGTATATAAAGCAAAAATAATTACACTATATATATTTATATATATATATAGTGTAATTATTTTTTATGTTTTATTCTATTTTATTAACCTAAAATTGGTAGTGCAGCGAACATTAATTCTGTATTTTTAAAACAAATTTTGAAGGATTATGGCTGTTTTTATTCATTTTTCACAGTAAAATTCTTACTGTTGTGTTTTTAGGTTTAGACAGTTTTTAAGATCAGGGACAATGGATGAAAAATAGCCTTTTGGTTCATTCTGGTGCATTTGCAGGATTGCTTATTAATGTTGGCCGTCCCTGTCAAATAAATTAATCTAAATGGAAGATTTCACACATCATCAGTTTAACATGGATGGAAGTAAAATGTTAAAAACTGAATAAAAAAAGATGTTTCCCTTTCTTCTTCAGGCTTCTCAAAGCGCTAAGAGACACAATCACATCCCATCATGACAGCTCTTTATTAAGGCACATGGTTCAGGTAAACATTAAAACCACCAATAAATGAGCAGATCTAGGAGAAAGTGAGACACCTGCTGGTAAGAAAGCGCAGAGCGTCTGCTTCCAGCCTGCTAACATTCAGGGATCTCCTCCTTCCTTTCCTGCTGGGATGAGAGCGACCGCATCCATCCCACCTCATGGTCTCAGCTCACCGTCAGATAGAACAAACTAAACGGCTAATTAATAAAAAGATTGAATGTTTTCCATAATTTAATGGAGAATTATGAGATCTGTGGTTTATTTTACACATAATTGGCCTCTTTCCCTTGGGGAAAAATAACATTGCTTTGGTAAAATAAATAATTAGATGTTAAAATGTCCACTTTGTCCAGCAGCAGCAGCATCCTTCCTACTAATATGAAGGATTTCCAACATGGCGGCTGAATAGCGGAGACGATCCTCCGCCATGTTGGCTCAGTGTTGCTTTGGAGAAGAAGCTCTGCTTCTGTTTCTATCATAAAAGTTCTTGATCCTCTAGTTTAATAATTATCAGTTTGACTCCAAAATGTTTAGTGACACCCATCTAAAAACTCGGAGGTTTGTCGAACGCAGCTCCTCTGATGAAGCTGCAGGAGCTTCCTGTCAATGGAGGGAGATCTCCTGCTCCTCCTCTTCATCCTCAGCAGAATCCTCACACGCCTCCCCGCTGTGAAGCAAAGGCAGCTGCAGCTCGGAGCTTTTACTGCCGAGATGTCGAATGGCGGGAGGCTTATCTGGAGGAGAGGAAACAGGAAGGAGAGGAAACAGGAAGGAGAGGAAACAGGAAGGAGACTCAGAGTCCAGAAGTATTCACACACCTGAGATACAGTTCAGGCGATTCTGATGCTCCAAACCCATAACCCGGCTCCATGTCGGGACGTAACCTAACCCGGCTCCATGTCGGGACGTGACCATAACCCGGCTCCATGTCGGGACGTGACCATAACCCGGCTCCATGTCGGGACGTGACCTAACCCGGCTCCATGTCGGGACATGACCGGACGTGACCTAACCCGGCTCCATGTCGGGACGTAACCTAACCCGGCTCCATGTCGGGACGTAACCTAACCCGGCTCCATGTCGGGACGTAACCTAACCCGGCTCCATCTCGGGACGTGACCTAACCCGGCTCCATGTCGGGACGTGACCTAACCCGGCTCCACGTCGGGACGTGACCTAACCCGGCTCCACGTCGGGACGTGACCTACGTAACCTAACCCGGCTCCACGTCGGGACGTAACCTACGTAACCTAACCCGGCTCCACGTCGGGACAAAAGCTAACCCGGCTCCGTGTCGGGACGTGACCTAACCCGGCTCCACGTCGGGACGTAAGCTAACCCGGCTCCGGGTCGGGACGTGACCTAACCCGGCTCCACGTCGGGACGTGACCTAACCCGGCTCCACGTCGGGACGTGACCTAACCCGGCTCCACGTCGGGACGTAACCTACGTAACCTAACCCGGCTCCACGTCGGGACGTAACCTACGTAACCTAACCCGGCTCCACGTCGGGACGTAACCTACGTAACCTAACCCGGCTCCACGTCGGGACGTGACCTAACCCGGCTCCACGTCGGGACGTAACCTATGTAACCTAACCCGGCTCCACGTCGGGACGTAACCTACGTAACCTAACCCGGCTCCATGTCGGGACGTAACCTAACCCGGCTCCATGTCGGGACGTGACCTAACCCGGCTCCATGTCGGGACGTGACCTAACCCGGCTCCATGTCGGGACGTGACCTAACCCGGCTCCATGTCGGGACGTGACCTAACCCGGCTCCACGTCGGGACGTAACCTACGTAACCTAACCCGGCTCCACGTCGGGACGTAACCTACGTAACCTAACCCGGCTCCACGTCGGGACGTAAGCTAACCCGGCTCCACGTCGGGACGTGACCTAACCCGGCTCCACGTCGGGACGTAAGCTAACCCGGCTCCGTGTCGGGACGTGACCTAACCCGGCTCCACGTCGGGACGTGACCTAACCCGGCTCCACGTCGGGACGTGACCTAACCCGGCTCCACGTCGGGACGTAACCTACATAACCTAACCCGGCTCCACGTCGGGACGTAACCTACGTAACCTAACCCGGCTCCACGTCGGGACGTAACCTACGTAACCTAACCCGGCTCCACGTCGGGACGTGACCTAACCCGGCTCCACGTCGGGACGTGACCTAACCCGGCTCCACGTCGGGACGTGACCTAACCCGGCTCCACGTCGGGACGTAACCTACATAACCTAACCCGGCTCCACGTCGGGACGTAACCTACGTAACCTAACCCGGCTCCACGTCGGGACGTAACCTACGTAACCTAACCCGGCTCCACGTCGGGACGTGACCTAACCCGGCTCCACGTCGGGACGTGACCTAACCCGGCTCCACGTCGGGACGTAACCTACGTAACCTAACCCGGCTCCACGTCGGGACGTAACCTACGTAACCTAACCCGGCTCCACGTCGGGACGTGACCTAACCCGGCTCCATGTCGGGACGTGACCTAACCCGGCTCCACGTCGGGACGTGACCTAACCCGGCTCCATGTCGGGACGTAACCTAACCCGGCTCCACGTCGGGACGTAACCTAACCCGGCTCCATGTCGGGACGTGACCTAACCCGGCTCCACGTCGGGACGTAACCTAACCCGGCTCCATGTCGGGACGTGACCTAACCCGGCTCCATGTCGGGACGTGACCTAACCCGGCTCCATGTCGGGACGTGACCTAACCCGGCTCCATGTCGGGACGTAACCTAACCCGGCTCCATGTCGGGACGTAACCTACGTAACCTAACCCGGCTCCATGTCGGGACGTGACCATAACCCGGCTCCATGTCGGGACGTGACCTAACCCGGCTCCATGTCGGGACGTGACCTAACCCGGCTCCACGTCGGGACGTAACCTAACCCGGCTCCACGTCGGGACGTAACCTAACCCGGCTCCACGTCGGGACGTAACCTACGTAACCTAACCCGGCTCCACGTCGGGACGTGACCTAACCCGGCTCCACGTCGGGACGTGACCTAACCCGGCTCCACGTCGGGACGTGACCTAACCCGGCTCCACGTCGGGACGTAACCTACGTAACCTAACCCGGCTCCACGTCGGGACGTAAGCTAACCCGGCTCCGTGTCGGGACGTGACCTAACCCGGCTCCACGTCGGGACGTAACCTAACCCGGCTCCACGTCGGGACGTGACCTAACCCGGCTCCACGTCGGGACGTAACCTAACCCGGCTCCATGTCGGGACGTAACCTAACCCGGCTCCATGTCGGGACGTAACCTAACCCGGCTCCATGTCGGGACGTGACCATAACCCGGCTCCATGTCGGGACGTGACCTAACCCGGCTCCATGTCGGGACGTGACCTAACCCGGCTCCATGTCGGGACGTAACCTAACCCGGCTCCATGTCGGGACGTAACCTAACCCGGCTCCATGTCGGGACGTAACCTAACCCGGCTCCATCTCGGGACGTGACCTAACCCGGCTCCATGTCGGGACGTGACCTAACCCGGCTCCACGTCGGGACGTGACCTAACCCGGCTCCACGTCGGGACGTGACCTACGTAACCTAACCCGGCTCCACGTCGGGACGTAACCTACGTAACCTAACCCGGCTCCACGTCGGGACGTAAGCTAACCCGGCTCCGTGTCGGGACGTGACCTAACCCGGCTCCACGTCGGGACGTAAGCTAACCCGGCTCCGGGTCGGGACGTGACCTAACCCGGCTCCACGTCGGGACGTGACCTAACCCGGCTCCACGTCGGGACGTGACCTAACCCGGCTCCACGTCGGGACGTAACCTACGTAACCTAACCCGGCTCCACGTCGGGACGTAACCTAACCCGGCTCCACGTCGGGACGTAACCTACGTAACCTAACCCGGCTCCACGTCGGGACGTGACCTAACCCGGCTCCACGTCGGGACGTGACCTAACCCGGCTCCACGTCGGGACGTGACCTAACCCGGCTCCACGTCGGGACGTAAAACTAAAAGCTGCCGGATGTTTGAACGCTTCAGGATGTGACTGTCAGCTAACAGAGCTAGCCGTTAGCTCCCGTCGACTCATTAAACGGTTCAAGCAGGGAAGAATATTTCTGTTTTTTACCCAATCAGCAGCAGGAACCAGGAGTCTGTGGGGCAGCGAGGGCTGCTAGCTTTAGCTTCAGCTCCACTGTCACAGGCATTGGAAGCCCCGCCCCCTCCCCAGAGGCATGGAGGGTTTACTTACTTCTGGAATAGTAGGTTTTGAGTCCCACGTGTAGAGAAATCCCACAGAGACACACGACGAATCCCAGCCAGTTCAGCACGCTCATCCTGTCTCCCATCACAGCCGCGGCCAACAACAGCGTACACACCTCCTACGGCAAGAGAGACGGGTCAGAAAGAGCTTCAACATTTAGGTTCCTCAAGTCTGGAGAAACCATGTTAGTCACTGTTCTGTCAGATCAGCGTCAGATTTGCTTTTATCCCTTTAGTTCTGTATGAAAAATCAACTTTAACTACCTCAATGGGCGTGTTTCCCTTTAGTCATGTATAAAAAACTATTTAAGGTCAGATCGCCATACGCTGGTACGGGAATGGGAGTTTGTTAGCTCGCCTAGCGAACGGTTCAAGGTAGCGCCAGAGCCTAGCGCTGGGCACAACTTTTCCACGTAAGTTATGTCACATTTTTTATTCAAGTTACACACACGGCATTCAGTAAGCAAGTACGACGTGACCAGGCGTAAGTCTAGAAAAGCAAAACAAAGAAAATGGCGCTCCATTGGGCGAAGCGATCAAAACTTTGGATGTAAAGTGGTAAAAACATCCAACATGCAGAAACACCTGCGAACACAACATGGCATAGATTTTAACCAATGCCGTGTTTTTGATGCTTCCAGACAGAAGCTAAAGTCACGACCAGCATGGAAGGAAACTCTGGTGGTTAGAAGCTAGTTTTCTATCACTAGTAAATTTACCTAGTAAATCAGATTCCTGGAAATAAACCAGTTCCCTACCTCTCTTTGGGGTCATTAAACACGCTACCAAGTTGCTCCGTAGTTCAGGGAGCGAGAGAAAGGTGACGCTCGTTTAATGAGTTTAATGAGTTTATTTCCAGAAATTGTACAGTAATGCTTTTCATTAAACGGATGCCTTCTAGATTTCGATGACTGTGAGGAGACGGGCAGCCTGGCTGGATCAGAGGCTTCAGCTCCCGTTCACTGCCTTCTGGTTTCACTGAGGCAGGCAGAGATAGAACGTCCCAGGCGAAGGTAGATGAATGTCACCGAGCACTTTTCACAGAATCGATAAGAGAATCGATAAGGAATCGAATCGTTTCACAGAATCGATAAGAGAATCGATAAGGAATCGAATCGTTTCACAGAATCGATAAGAGAATCAATAAGGAATTGATCGTTTCACAGAATCGATAGGGAATCGATAAGGAATCGAATCGTTTCACAGAACCGATAAGGGAATCGATAAGGAACCGAATCGTTTCACAGAATCGATAAGGGAATCGATAAGGAATCGAATTGTTTCACAGAATCGATAAGGGAATCGCTAAGGAATCGAATCGTTTAGCAGAACCGATAAGGGAATCGATAAGGAACCGAATCGTTTCACAGAATCGATAAGGGAATCGATAAGGAATCGAATTGTTTCACAGAATCGATAAGGGAATCGAATCGTTTCACAGAATCGATAAGGGAATCGAATCATTTCACAGAATCGATAAGGGAATCGATAAGAAATCGAATCGTTTCACAGAATCGATAAGGGAATCGATAAGGAATCGAATCGTTTCACAGAATCGATAAGGGAATCGCTAAGGAATCGAATCGTTTAGCAGAATCGATAAGAGAATCCATAAGGGAATCGAATCGTTTCACAGAATCGATAAGGGAATCGCTAAGGAATCGAATCGTTTCACCGAATCAATAAGAGAATCGATAAGGAACCGAATTGTTTCACAGCATCGATAAGGGAATCGATAAGGAATCGAATCGTTTCACAGAACCGATAAGAGAATCGATAAGGAACCGAATCGTTTCACAGAATCGATAAGGGAATCGATAAGGAATCGAATTGTTTCACAGAATCGATAAGGGAATCGCAAAGGAATTGAAACGTTTAGCAGAATCGATAAGAGAATCGATAAGGAATCGAATTGTTTCACAGAATCAATAAGGGAATCAATAAGGAATTGATTCGTTTCACAGAATCGATAGGGAATCGATAAGGAATCGAATCGTTTCACAGAATCAATAAGAGAATCAATAAGGAATTGATTCGTTTCACAGAATCGATAGGGAATCGATAAGGAATCGAATCGTTTCACAGAATCGATAAGGGAATCGATAAGGAATCGAATTGTTTCACAGAATCGATAAGGGAATCGCTAAGGAATTGAAACGTTTAGCAGAATCGATAAGAGAATCGATAAGGAACCGAAACGTTTCACAGAATCGATAAGGGAATCGAATCGTTTCACAGAATCGATAAGGGAATCGATAAGGAATCGAATCGTTTCACAGAATCGATAAGGGAATCGCTAAGGAATCGAATCGTTTAGCAGAATCGATAAGAGAATCCATAAGGGAATCGAATCGTTTCACAGAATCGATAAGGGAATCGCTAAGGAATCGAATCGTTTCACCGAATCGATAAGAGAATCGATAAGGAACCGAATCGTTTCACAGCATCGATAAGGGAATCGATAAGGAATCGAATCGTTTCACAGAACCGATAAGAGAATCGATAAGGAACCGAATCGTTTCACAGAATCGATAAGGGAATCGATAAGTAATCGAATTGTTTCACAGAATCAATAAGGGAATCGCTAAGGAATTGAAACGTTTAGCAGAATCGATAAGAGAATCGATAAGGAATCGAATTGTTTCACAGAATCGATAAGGGAATCAATAAGGAATTGATTCGTTTCACAGAATCGATAGGGAATCGATAAGGAATCGAATCGTTTCACAGAATCAATAAGAGAATCAATAAGGAATTGATTCGTTTCACAGAATCGATAGGGAATCGATAAGGAATCGAATCGTTTCACAGAATCGATAAGGGAATCGATAAGGAATCGAATTGATTCACAGAATCGATAAGGGAATCGCTAAGGAATTGAAACGTTTCACAGAATCGATAAGGGAATCGCTAAGGAACCGAATCGTTTCACAGAATCGATAAGGGAATCGAATCGTTTCACAGAATCGATAAGGGAATCGAATCGTTTCACAGAATCGATAAGGGAATCGCTAAGGAATCGAATCGTTTAGCAGAATCGATAAGAGAATCCATAAGGGAATCGAATCGTTTCACCGAATCGATAAGAGAATCGATAAGGAACCGAATCGTTTCACAGCATCGATAAGGGAATCGGAATCGAGAAAATCTGATCAATTTCCAATCCCACATATGCTTCAACAAACATCAAAAGTAATGAAATTGTTTTTTGTACATAACTAAAGGGATACACCCCGCTGAGGTAGTTTAAAGTGTTTTTCTTAGGTTTGGACTACGTGTATGCTGGTCTGACAGAACGGCAGACCAACAGAACTCACAGCAGCCGACGCTGAGCTAGAAACTACCTTAAAGATGCCCGATATGGACAACGTGAGGCTGGAGGTTCTGGAGACCAGCAGAAACTCAGAGAAACCCAACCCGAAGGCCAGGGTGCCGCCGACACTCAGCGTCAGGAGGGAATAGAGCAGAGGGGAGAGCTCCGTCACCCGGAACAGCTTCTCTGAAGAACTCAGACTCAGCGCTGCAGACAGGGGATAGAATCAGGACACAGACGTTCTGCAGGATCCAGAAACACTTTCTAAAGAACTGTGCAGACAAAGTTCCTCCTTTCACACAATTTTCCTCTGAGGCTCTGAGGCTTCGTTCACACCGCAGGCCTTAATGCTTCACTCTTCTGTGTGCTTCTTCACATTTACAAATAAATGCGGCCTGTATGTGATCTCCTGTGTGAACTGCATTCACACAACTTAACGTCCCGCATGCGCAGCAGAGGACGCGATGATGTCACAGGTGAGAAATAACAGAAATAAACATGGATCCAAGGGTGGATTGAGGAAATGTGGGGCCCTAGGCAAAGACAGGCAGGGGGCCCAGACCCATTGTCCAGATAGAGAAATGTTAATAGAATAGACATCCATTATCTGTTCTAGGTTGTGTCCCTCTCTTCTTGTCCCTTTTCTTCTTGTTTTCCTCTCTATGTTTTGTACTCAGCTGACTTTTCATGCTGTCTCTAAAGGAATGAAAGATTTTTTCCAAGCACTAAGCTCACTTAGCTGATTGCTCCTTCCTGTGTTTCCAAAAAGGCCCGGGGGGGTGGGGGGTGTCAGGTTTCAGCTTTCAAAATCCTGCAATTCAGCAATTGATTTGATTCCTCCCTGCTATCATCACGCGGAGGACCTCGCCTGTTCACCCAGGCCAACAATTCCCTCTAACGACCCCCCTTTCAGAGACATAGACAGGTATGGGGCATTGCAGGCTAACAAAGAAGCCAAACGACCCCCATTCCAAAGGGGGGGACCCGTTCATCCGTTTCTATGTGCATGTTTTCTAAACTAAAACCAGGCTTTGTTGGGCTGCTGGATAAAACCTGGAACTAAACGCTATTTCTGACATTTTGATTGAAAAATCTTCCTGGATGGAAGAGAAACGTCTTCAAACTTGGAGACAAAGTCCAGAGGATTGATTTGAACTTTTTTGGACTGACTCTGACCTGGATGACTGAGAATCTCCACCAGCGCACAGACTGCCATGAAAAGCTCAGATAAAGGTTGCATTTAGGAAAGAAAGAAGGGATTTGGGGGACTGCAGGCTGCTGTGTGAACTGAGCCTGAATAATAAGCTGAACTAAAATCTGAGATCCTCTGAGAGGCAGTGGACTCAGCAGAACCAGCGGCTCCTTTCCACAGATCGTCTATTCGTCTGCTCACCTTCATTAAACAGGAAAAGGGGGAAGAGGCAGAGGAACATGAGCGGCTGGAGGTGGTACATGGCATCGATGGGATTCTGAAGGCCTGGAAGGAAACAGAAAAGTCAGCCATCATCGTCTGCACAGTTTTCAGTTAATCAATCATCAGTTTAGGTCACAGCAAAGGGTTAGGCTTATCTCTGAAGGAAAGCAGGTCCAAAACATCAGCAGAACCAGAACCTGTTCTGGTTCTACTGAGGTTAGTCGTTAAAACGCAGCAGTGACCCGGTCCACCTCCACTGAAAATGACTCGGGACCGACCCAGTTCTGCTTTCTGCATGAGGACCTGGGTGAGGGTCCAGCGGATCCCCCCGATGAAGGAGGCCATCAGCACCAAGATGAAGCCCTCCATGTTGAACTGGGTCGATTCGTAGGTAAACATGAAGAGGCCGCAAGCGATGAGCAGAACCACCAGGATCAGGAAGGGGTTCTGGTTCAGACGGGGAACAAAGAGTTTAGTTCAACTACGGCCCAACACAACCCAACAAAACCCAACGGAACCCAAAACAACCCAACAGAACCCAACAGAACCCAACACAACCCAACACAACCCAACACAACGGAACCCAACAGAACCCAACAGAACCCAACGGAACCCAACACAACCCAACGGAACCCAACAGAACCCAACAGAACCCAAAACAACCCAACAGAACCCAACACAACCCAACGGAACCCAACAGAACCCAACAGAACCCAACAGAACCCAACAGAACCCAAAACAACCCAACAGAACCCAACACAACCCAACAGAACCCAACAGAACCCAACAGAACCCAAAACAACCCAACAGAACCCAACAGAACCCAAAACAACCCAACAGAACCCAGAGCCTGGTGGCATCTGGAGATCCGGTTAAGATCAAACTGGTTCTAAAACCTTCTGAGGTCTGAAGACAGAAACATTTCTAGATATAAACACTAAAGATCCACATTGATGACAGGAAACAGGCTGAAACACTGAATGTTGGAATAAAGACAAAGAACTGAAGAAAAATTCAATAAAAATGAACAAAACTAAATGATTAAAAACAATAAATATGCATAAAACTAAAAAATATGAACTATGAGATATTTAGATTTTAACTGAAACAACAAGACAGACAGACAGACAGACAGAGAGACAGACAGAGAGACAGACAGAGAGACAGACAGAGACAGACAGACAGACTCTCTGCAGACGGTAAACGCTCAACCATTGCTGGTTTTAACGGTTTGGACGCCCGGTTCTCCGTTACCAACCGCTGCAGAGCGAGCCGGACGCCGTACTGCGGCTTAGTTCATGATGGATGCAGGAGAACCTCTGCATCCGTTCCAGCAGAACCAGGCCTCAGTTACTCAGCACAGGTTGGTATCACACTGACCGGGCCGTCCTGGGTAGAACCATTAGAACCAACCGGACTCTAGAGCTTCATGATGGAAGCTGCTGACGCCATTAATGTGGCCTAAATCCTGGGAGCTCACCGGTTCCTCCAGTTTGAAGACCAGGGAGAAGAAGAGGATGAAGAGCACGGCTGAGGACTTGGTCATGGTGTACCTTCAAGCAGAAGCAAACATCAGGAGGGACGTTACAGCAGCTGCGACGCTCTTCTCTTTCCACTTACAGACTGATGGTGATGAAGAGGAAGCTCCAGTTGGAGAGGCCGATGTCCAGCGCTGTAGCTAAGGCTGTGCAAAGAGTTCAGGACATTTAAGCTGCACAAAGTCATCCACATCAGAACAGTAGAAGAACCAGGAGAAGAGATGTGAAATGAAATCTGCCCCCTTCACTCGGACGCCTCCAGATAAAATCCAGCTGAAGGCGGCAGATGTGCGACTCTAGGACCATTTCCTGCTTTATCTCTTTGCTCTCTGAGAATGACGTGTGGCAAAACTTAGCAACATGGATTTTAGTCAAAGTTCACAGACGATCTATGAGTGGACGCGATAAAGGCAGACCGTCACCTCCAGCAGATCAGTCTAAACATTTCAGCTCAGAGGAACCAGGAACCCACCTGTAGGAGCCACCTTACGGAGGTAGTCTTTCCAGGCCAGAGTCACGCGGGGTTTCCCCGTCCAGCGATGCATGGCCCGCCGCGTCAGCGCCGCCGCACAGAAGATGACGGCCAGGTGAACCAGCGTCATGAACAGGGGGTAGTGGAAGCCCTGAGAGAAAGAAGCACATTGGATGGAGCAGAACGGCTCTGGTCTACAGACCAACTACAGACCGACCTACAATATATCCCACTTCCAGACTTTTCTACACTTCCAGCTCCAGATTCAGCAAACTTTGAGCTATTTCCCACAGACTGACTACCATACACAGTGTGGGTCATCATCAGTGATGGGCAGTAGCCCCGCTACATGTAGCGAAGCTATTAGTTTAACTAGCTTCCAGTAGCTTGACCGTAGCGTCGCTGCTTTATTTATCAAGTAACTTTCCTGTAGTGACGTTATTGCTTTGATCAAGTAGCGACGTAGCGTCCAGAGATGCTACAAAATCCAGGGCATAACTAAGAAATGAAACCAGGCTTTCTATTTTTGAAACAACGATCAGAATTATTTGCTGGACATTCATGCATGAGCCTCTATTCTGCCTTTCCTGTCTGTATCTACGAAACATGCGCATTAGCACTGTAGTGGAACTCAATGAACGACACAGAGCCACGCACACAGGATGGAGGAGGAGACAGGAGCAGAGCGAGAGGAGCAGCCAACTGTCGCTATCACACTGTGGCCTTATCTTCAGAGATTATGAAACTTGTTGAATCCTCAGATAAAAAATAAGTGTATGGATGTCTGCTTTGCACAAAAAAAAAAAAAAAAACTGTTGTAGTGTCCAGGACATCCAACACCAACCAGAGGACTCACATTCAGGTGAATCACTCATTTCCCTCCTGCAGTGTGCAAGTAAAAATATCTAACGTCGTGTAAATCCCAACTCACTTTAACCAGATGCTGTATGTAGATTAGTAAAACTAAAACTACCCACCTAGCAGTGTGTGATGGAAAGGGACTAGCCAAGTGGCTAAGCAGAAGTGTTAAAAAAAAAAAAAAAACTTATGCAATTTTTATCATTGTAACATGAGTGATTTTCCAGGTTCTTGGCCATAGAGAGCTCATGTGGCCAAGATTAGCCATTTGTTTAACGTAGCCAAACACTCATTAAAACAGTCAACTACAGCATATTTTTTGAAAAAAAATGAGAAAAATATATCAGCTTTAACTTTATTGGCGCCTTTAATTTCCAGATAGTTCAATCTGATGAGTGCCACTAAGATATCCTCATTAGAGAGCAGTAGTGAAACGTTGATATTAGGGCTGAAACAACGAATCGATAAAAATCGACTTTTAAAAGCGTTGGCAACGAATTTCATCATCGATTAGTTGTGTCGCGCGATTAACGCGTCGTCATCCGCCGCCGCCGCCACTGCCTCTTGACTGAAACGGGGGAAGAAGAAAAAATACGGCAGAGCGAGTCAGCGCCGCAGGTGCAGTGTTGCCAACTCAGCAACTTTTCAGACCCCTCCAGCAACTATTTTTCAAAAAAGCGACAAATCTGGCGACTTTTTACGGTTTCACTGGCGGCTTTTGGAGACTCTTAGGTGAAAGCATGTATCGTTCCTACTCTGCTGTGGGGCGCCTCCCCCACCCCAACCCCTTTCTCCCTCTCCCGCAGGAGTCCCTCTCAGCGCTGCAGTCAGAGCCGCAAGATGTTTACCCTCAGCGTCCAGACTGCAAATGAAGCGCGCATGCGCCGGGATTGACGGCGCAAATTGATCACAATAATTGAAATAGCCTGCGCTTTGTAAAGTGAAAAAAGTCGTAACATGCAACTTTTGTAAAAACAAATGAATATGGCACGGAAGCACCACTGTTATGATGCAGCACCTGAAAAGAAAACACGTTGGAGCCTTCGATGGCAGCGAAGAGAGCTGATCAGCAGGGTGAGCGGCCATGTTTGTTTGGTTTTAAAGTGGGGAAACGTAACGTTAGTTTCTCAGGTAGCTCATCTGATGCTTTCCTTACCGTGTTAGTAGGTTACAGACAGTGATAAGGTTGGCTACTTATTTTACTTTTAATTTCATTTGAATTAGCTTAAGCAGCGTTTACATTTACTTTATAAATAAATTAACTTGCAAATTATGAGGGCAAGGCTTTTAAAGTTTAAATCTTCTGGCAAAGATAAAATAAAGAAGATCCTGCAATTTATGGAAGTAAAGCAGAATAAAATCCAGCAAGATCAGTAATATGTCAATTAATTATCTGCCACATTCCCATGTAAATATCTGTCTTTGGAGGATGTGTTTTTTACCACCCCTAGTTCTCTCATTTTTATTCCAAATACAATTTATAATTTGAATCACAGGGCTATTTTTATCTCTATGGTTCAGTATTTTCTCAAGTAGCAACTTTAACTGCTATACTTTCCTGTCTTAAAATGCAGAACTCTTCTAGTCTAAAAAAAACTCATTTGTTGAAATGGGGGGGCCTATTGTTTGAACCCCCCCTTTTTTTTTTTTTTTATGTCTTTTTTTGCGCTTTATGAACCAAAGTAGCCTATATTTTGTGGATGTACAGCTACATTTCTCATGTAAGTTTGCGTAGTTTTAACGCAAACATTTATTTTTCATATTGCACCAGTACACTTAATGAGCAACCTGTACTTGTGTGCTTGTTTGTTCTGTCTAAAATGTTTATTTTGGAATAAAGAGGTTAATATAAAAAATATTTTTTGTCCGATTCATTGATTATTAGAAAAAAATAATCGTCCGATTAATCGATTTTTAAAATAATCGTTAGTTGCAGCCCTAGTTGATATTGTATTTTCATGGCCTAATTTACCAGACAGGATGTTTACATAAATCTGTTTTAAGGCTTATTTGCACAGATAAGATGTTTTAGGTATGGAGGAACAGCTGTGTTGGTTTACCTCTAGACGGGACCTACCAGAGCTCAGCTCTTACCTTCATCAGCCATTTGTTGTAGAAGGTGATTCCTATGGAGAAGACGTAGTAGAGGAGAACCAGTCCGACGGTACGAAGACCCCGGAGGAGGAACTGGACTGGAAACGCCATACAGAACCAGAGATGTGTTCAGACCGCCACGGAAACAACTGGAGAAATAAAGGTAGAACATTAGGGAGGTAGAGAGGAGGAGCGCTGGAAGCTCAGCTGTTTGGGTTCTGACCCGGTCAGACCCGCAAGAACCGCACAGAAGGCTGAGCAGCAAAGGAGTCTGCTAAGAAAAAACCGACATCTACACCAGCTGTGGTGTGGCATCGTCAGAATGATTGACGAGCGCGTAGGACGGCCTTACGTAAACGCATCGTCGGAACGATTGACGAGCGCGTATGACGGCCTTACGTAAACGCGTCGTCGGAACGATTGACGAGCGCGTAGGACGGCCTTACGTAAACGCGCCGTCGGAACGATCGACGAGCGCGTAGGACGGCCTTACGTAAACGCATCGTCGGAACGATTGACGAGCGCGTAGGACGGCCTTACGTAAACGCGTCGTCGGAACGATCGACGAGCGCGTAGGACGGCCTTACGTAAACGCGTCGTCGGAACGATCGACGAGCGCGCGGGACGGCCTTACGTAAACGCGTCGTCGGAACGATCGACGAGCGCGTAGGACGGCCTTACGTAAACGCATCGTCGGAACGATTGACGAGCGCGTAGGACGGCCTTACGTAAACGCGCCGTCGGAACGATCGACGAGCGCGTAGGACGGCCTTACGTAAACGCGTCATCGGAACGATCGACGAGCGCGCAGGACGGCCTTACGTAAACGCATCGTCAGAACGATAGACGAGCGCGTAGGACGGCCTTACGTAAACGCAGCCGTCGGAACGATTGACGAGCGCGTAGGACCCGTCGTGGACGCTTACGTAAACGCATCGTCGGAACGATTGACGAGCGCGTAGGACGGCCTTACGTAAACGCGTCGTCGGAACGATCGACGAGCGCGTAGGACGGCCTTACGTAAACGCGTCGTCGGAACGATCCACGAGCGCGTAGGACGGCCTTACGTAAACGCATCGTCGGAACGATTGACGAGCGCGTAGGACGGCCTTACGTAAACGCGCCGTCGGAACGATTGACGAGCGCGTAGGACGGCCTTACGTAAACGCATCGTCGGAACGATTGACGAGCGCGTAGGACGGCCTTACGTAAACGCGTCGTCGGAACGATCGACGAGCGCGTAGGACGGCCTTACGTAAACGTGTCGTCGGAACGATCGACGAGCGCGCAGGACGGCCTTACGTAAACGCGTCGTCGGAACGATCGACGAGCGCATAGGACGGCCTTACGTAAACGCATCGTCGGAACGATTGACGAGCGCGTAGGACGGCCTTACGTAAACGCGCCGTCGGAACGATCGATGAGCGCGTAGGACGGCCTTACGTAAACGCATCGTCGGAACGATTGACGAGCGCGCAGGACGGCCTTACGTAAACGCATCGTCAGAACGATTGACGAGCGCGTAGGACGGCCTTACGTAAACGCATCGTCAGAACGATTGACGAGCGCGTAGGACGGCCTTACGTAAACATTTAACATGAGGCTGTTTATGAATCAAAGCATCTATTTCTGAGCAACAAGCTCAAAGAGAAATAAATTAAACATGATATTGAATTCCTGCTTTTTAATTCAGAGGGATTAGTAGAAGCTTTGCATGAGTGGCTGCCAGCAGGAGCTGCTGGAGGAGGGAGGGGCTCGGTCACGTGACGCTGGCGTAGGTCATGTGACTGAAGTCTACAACAAAAGAAGAAACATGGATGTGTCGCTAAAAAGTTTATAAATGGTAATTGGCATGTACTTATATAGCGCCTTTATTCAAGTCAGGAGACTTGACCAAAGTGCTTTACACTACATTCATTCACCCATTCACGCACACTGATGGTGGTGAGCTACATTGTAGCCACAGCTGCCCTGGGGCTCACTGACAGAAGCGGGGCTGCCGTATGGCGCCACCCTCTGACCACCATCAGTAGACGATGCAGGTGAAGGGTCTTTCCCAAGGACACAACGACACTGAAAGTTGGAGTCGGGGCTTGAACCGTCAACCCTTCGATTTCAGGGCAAACTCCTACATCTGTCGCCCAACATATAAAAAGAATAAAAAATTGAGGTCTGAAAATTCAACAAGTGGCACCAATGCTGCAGTGCGAACAGGGTCCTAGTGCCCCACATTTGCGTTACATGGTCATTTATCGGAGCTGCTCAGACACTGAGGAGGTTAGACGCTGGGATTAACTAGTCTTTAGTTTTAGGCTTCAGTTGCTAAAACAGCTGCGCAGTTTACAGCAGAGCATCACTGACAGACAGGCAGATAGACAGACAGGCAGACAGACAGACAGACAGGCAGACAGGGAGACAGACAGACAGACAGGCAGACAGACAGGCAGGCAGGCAGACAGGCAGACAGACAGCATCCATTCTCAGTTCTAACAAATGAAAAGAAAACCTCAGTCTAATTATTAAACAGAACTGGATAGATTATAGAAAGTCTTTGATCCATCTCTTCTGCTACTGGTTTGCTTTTCTGGTCACGTCCTAAATTAAACATTTCTCACTTATCCTTTTTATCACCAGCGGATTCTTCTGTTGGTAAAATATGTTTTGTTGTTTCAAAAATAAATAAATCAGAGCCTTATTTCAAATTAACGTTAAAGTGGTACCTTATTCCATCTCACAGTGGGGACGTTACTGGATTCCATCAACTGGAAAGACGTCTGCCTGCTTCCAAATCAATACTTGATAAATAACAAAACTAAAGAAATCTCATAAAGATAATCCAGAACATTTATCGTACCAAAGTCTTTATCCAGAAACACTTTAAAACCATTGATGTCTCCTGCAGCTTCTGCTGTAATAATCCTGGAACACTTGTTGATCTGTTCTGGAACTGCCCACTAATCCAGTCCTTCTGGAACCACATTTATTATTTAATTGAGAGAAAATAGACAAAGATTTTATTTTATTTTGGAAGACTCTACTATTCGGCATTAAGGGAAATTGCAAGTCTCAACCAAAGAGATCAGATAAGGTATATTTAATTGACCTGATTATTATTATGGCCAAGTTTTTATACATAAATGTAAATATAGAGGCTCCAAACCGGCATCACTGCTTATAAGCAGCAACTTAAACAATATATTGACAGCAAACAATTATCAGAAAATAAGAAAGTAATCAAAACTAGAGAAGCTTTTGTCCTTTTTAATCTTCTTATTTAGACAGCTGTTTCCCCCTAGCGTTTACTTTTATTTAATAGATGTACTATTTTATTTATTTTTTTCTTGTCTTTCCTCCTTACTGTCCAACATTTACTGGACTGTTAATCATCTGATATACACCTGTTGAAAATGTCTGTAAAATGCTTGCTAAGATTACCTTTAGTGCAGTAAGGTTGCTCTGTGATGTTCTTTGCAGAAACAAATAAAATTGCATTGGGAAATAAAAACCCATTAAACAACTATAAACAGAAGAAGTTCCGCCCAGCCTGACGGCCCCATCACCACAGCCAGAGTAACATCAGCCTCTGGCTTCATGGCGGCACCAAACATGCTGATAAATAATCTAATCATTTGTTCGCTGAGGCTCCACCCTGATGACCGATCAGCTACACTAAACCGGATTACTCTGGTTTGGGGAATATTATGTTCTGTTAACATCCGCTGAAAATGTCTCCTCCGCCCTGGAACTAATCGGCTTATCCGGGCGGTGCGCCGGCGTGAAAATGATGCGGAGCCTCCTGCCCGAGTTATAACCAGCTGGACAGCGGCGGTTTTAGACTGAGACAGATTTATCTGTTTAAACAAAATGTCTCCGACTGAAGATTAAAGTATTTGAAAATGCAAACTACTGCGAACACTCACCGTCTGTTAGTGACTACATGACGGACTTTGTTCTGCTTCTTTTCTCTGGCAGAACAGACGCGTCCGCGCGCTTCTTCTTCTTCTTCTTTTTCTTGGTTTGGCTTCTGGGCGGTGAGCTCACTACCGCCACCCCCTGGACCATAATATTATTCTCTCATGCCTCACGATTCTAACTTTATATTCTACCAGTTCTACGTTGCAACAAATGCATCTTTATTAGATAGTGGGAAAAAAATAAATATTTTTATTGAAACAAAGTCGTTTGCTACTGAAAATAAATTAGCCAGTTGGGGACCTGTGAGGCGTCTGTTTCTCAAACTAGAGGCTCTAATGTACTTATCTTCTTGCTCAGTTGTGCAACGCAGCCTCCCACTTCTTTTTCTACTCTGGTTAGAGCCTTTTTGTGCTGTCCTCTGAAGGGAGCAGTACACACCGTTGTAAGAAATCTTCAATTTCTTAGCAATTTCTGGCATGGAATAGCCTTCATTTCTAAGAACAAGAATAGACTGTGGAGTTTCAGATGAAAGTTTTCTTTTTCTGGCCATTTTGAGCGTTTAATTGACCCCACAAATGTGATGCTCCAGAAACTCAATCTGCTCAAAGGAAGGTCAGTTTTGTAGCTTCTCTAACGAGCTAAACTGTTTTCAGATGTGTGAACATGATTGCACAAGGGTTTTCTAATCATCAATTAGCCTCTGAGCCAATGAGCAAACACATTGTACCATTAGAACACTGGAGGGATAGTTGCTGGAAATGGGCCTCTATACACCTATGGAGATATTGCACCAAAAACCAGACATTTGCAAGATAATTGTAAAATATAATTACCTTAACAATGTAATCAATCCATGTTTATTACATGAACATCATCAGTTTATCACTTCTGGCTCATCTGTATTATTCTGCTCCACATTAATGTTATTGTGATGGATTGTATAATATGTTATATTACCTGATTTATAGACTTCATAATGACTGCAATGTGATTGGCCTATTTATTTATTCTAAGTTAAAGTTAATCTAATGATGCTCTGAAACAGCCAGTCTGTGTCAAAGTGATGAATTTATCTTTATATTAAAAGACTTAAGTCCCTGAAACTGAGACCATCATTGTTGTTCGATGCTGTAGCGCACAGATTGTTTACATTGAGAGCGGTGTAAGGTTTGTTCGTCTCTATACAGCATTAGGAGGTCACTAACAGGTCAAAGGGAACATAATGTGCACATGAAAGCTGCAGACGTGACATGCTTGAATGACCTGATAACAAAAGTGTGATCTTTGCTTTTAGAAACCTTTTTTGTGTGATGATGCAATAAGTAACACCCAAAATAACCCCCTAGTTCTCTTTACTGTGTATAACTTCTGCTAATCATAGTTTAAGATGTTTCCTCTCTTGCTATCGGCTGACCTTGGAACCACTTCTTGTTTTCATTCTAATAAAAAGCGGATGCAGAGGGAGAGCAGCAGAGAGCATCTGAGCGGAGAGTTTCTGAATGAGATCCTGGCTTGCTCTCTCCCTCTGCAGAGTGAAACCGATAAGTCGTGTTTGGAGCCTTATCGTGTCTCCACTTTGTTCTAAAGTGTTCTGAACCCAACAACCGCTCTAACAAGGGAGTACCAATATGGCGGCTGATGGCTTCACTTCAAACCCGGTACTACCAACGTGCAATCAGCAATCCAGGGAATTAACCCATCACAACCGTTTCCCTATCGCAAGCGGCGGATTAATATTAAATACTACACATCGTTAAGATATATCCAATAAATGGACTATATTTATTCGCCTAAAGCTTTAATGAATTTGCAGAGTTATATTAATTATATTTTCATAGCATTATAAAGAACAGTAAGAGAAATACATGGAGAAGTTATTGATCTACAATAGGAGGTGAAGTTAAAATAGCAGAGGTTTGGACAATATTAAAGAAAATGGGTGGGACTAAAGTATTTGTTAAAATAATAATATATTAGAGGATGATGGAATAATTGCAATAACAGATATGGAAAAAGCCAATGGTTTGGGACAGAAGTTTGCCAGTCTGCATAATGGGACCATTTAGATGATAATCACAGACAGAATATGGAGAAGATAATAGTTGAAAATAGAGAAATATTTATTCACAAAGAATAGAAGAAGAGGAAAATGCATTAGATCCGTCTTTTGGCCAAAGTCGCGTCCTTTCTCAGTCGGCAGGATCTTCAGAAGGCAATCCAAGCTTTCATTAGTACAACGCTGGACTACAGCAATGCCCTTTACATTGGCCTCAGTCAGTCAGCAATTTCTCGTCTCGTGCAGAACGCAGCCTCCCGATTATTAACAAACACTTCCAGACGTGAACACATTACTCCTGTGCTGTCGTCACTCAACTGGCTTCCAGTCCGTTTTAGAAACGATTTTTAACGCCATCCATGGCGTGGCCCCCTCTTACTGGTCTGAGAATTTAACACTCCTCGGGTTAGCTTCTGTTAGAGGTCAATAGGTCAAGACTTAACAGTGGGGCGATGGTTCTTTTGCCGTCGCTGCTCCCAGACTGTGGAACAAACTGAAATCCGCACCACTACTGACCTCAGCCTTTAAAAAAAAAAGCTTAAAAGACACTTTTTTAATTTAGCTTTTAATTCTGACTATAATACTGTCTCTTAGATGTCCTCCTCCTGTCTGCTCCTTTCTATGCACCTCTGGAAGGCTTTTAAAGTCCTGCAGCACTACAGCACTTTTAGCTGTATCTGTATGTTTTATATGTGTTATATATTGTTTTATGGCTTTGTTATAAAGCACTTTGGGTTCCATTTGGCTATTATAAAGGGCTATGCAAATAAATTAGATTGATTTGATTGATTTAGATGCATAAATCAATATGAATGAATTAAAAATGGTGTTAAAGGGTATTAGCAACAGCGCAACAGGAGAAGATAAATTATGTGATGTTTCAGAAATTACATGAGAAAGTATTTAAGATGATGTTACATTTATTTAATAACATTTGGAAAGAAGGTAAAATGCCAAAAAGATGGAAAAGTGCATTAATATTGCCATTTAATAAGCCTGGGAAAAAATCCTAAAAAAGTTGGAAATTAAAGACCTATTGCCCTAACATCGCATTTCTGTAAATGGATGGAAACAATACTGGTAAGAAGACTAAAAGAAACAAGGAATATCTGCAGCAAATCAAAGTGGGTTTAGAAAAGGACGTTCTACCATAGATGCTGCGCTGAAAGTAAGTGATAGATGGAAAAAGCTTTTAAAGTGAAAGAAATAATGAACATTGTTTTCTTAGATATAGAAAACGCTCATGATTTAATGTGGCGGGAAAGATTATTAATTAAATGAAATATGACGGGAATTAGAGATAGATTTTATAACCGGGTTCTAGATTTTCTAACAGAAGAATTAGAGTTAAAGTAAGATCTGACGTCTCAGAACAATTTGGAATAAATAATGGAATTCCACAAGGAAGTGTTATTAGCCCAGTTTTATTTAATATAATGATTAATAATATTTTTATGAAAGTAGATAAAAGAGTTGGATCTGATTTATATGCTGATGATGGGACCATTTGGACAAGAGGACGAGAATCCAAAAAAATAAGAAATAGAATCAAGGAGGAAATTAGAGAAATTGAAAAATGGTGATATAAATGGGGCTTTAAGCTCTCGACAAGTAAATCTTATAATATGTACAAAAAGGAAAGATAAATTAATAGAATTAGGAATTATATGGTCACAAAATGGAGACAGGAAGTCACTTTAAATATTTGGGTAAAATGGTTGGATGAAAAAGGAAGATGGAGAACATATATAGAAAAAATAGAGACGAAATGTAAGAAAATCCTAAATGAGAGCAAAAGCAGGAAAAGATGGAGAGCAAGTAAACAATCATTGGTGGATATTTATAAGGAGTTAATGAGATCAATGATAGATTATGGGTGATTATATATGATAGATTATATATGGAGCAGCATTAAAATTAATTAATAAAGCTATGAGAATTTGCACTGGTGCAAAGAGAACAACTAAAGCAATGCAGGGAGAGTTACTGTAGGAGAAGTGCCTTTAGGTTCAAGAAAAGATCAACCGATGGTTACATCGTTTACATGGAGGTGGAAAATGAAAATATATGTTTGTATATGATGGCAATAATTATATAACCGGATAGAGCGGTTTGTTGTGTTGATTCTTTGGCAGCCCTTTACAGCATCCAACATATGAAATCAGAAAGAGAAGATTTATTATTAGAAATACATCAAAGTTTGTTCTGAACATGAAAACTTTATATAAATGTAAAGTTTTATTGGGTTCCGGCCCATGTAGAATAAATGGGAATGAAAGAGCAGAACAAATAGCTAAACAATCAGTCAGAACAAATAATATTATAAACATACCGTACGGGAAAGGAGAAGCTAAGATAATAATTAAAAAACAAATGAAGGAAAAATGGCAGAATAGATGGAAGATGGATAAAAGTGGAAGAAATTATTATAATAATAATAGATTTCTGTCAGAAATCTATTAATGCCAAAGGTTTGGTTAGAAAGAATAGAAGAGAATATTTTAACAAGGTTAAGATTTAATCAGACTGGGTTAAATAAAACATTATTTTTATTAAAGAAAAGTGAAACAGTTAAATGTAAAGTAATAGAAAATGTAAAACATATTTTATTATATTGTAGGAAATAAGATGAAGAAAGGATAAGATTAAAACAAAAAACAAGACAAATAAATTTAAAAGGATTAATAGGAATAACAGGAGATAAAGGAAACACAGAAAGAATTAATATCTTAAGGATACAGGATTATATTATACCATTTAAAGGTATATATATATATATTTCTATATGGATGTATATGTATTTGTGTATGTATTTAGATATATATGTGTGTATGTACATATGGATAGATAGATATATAGATAGATATATGGATATAGATATATATACATATGGCTGGCGCTGTCATCGTAAAGGCAGGGAACAAGTAAGTGGTAAGTACAGTAGATGGCGGTATGCACCTGAAAGTTAAGGTTGAAATCTGCCATTAAACAAAAAGAATAATGCTGCAGTCCTCCTGTCCAGCAGGTGGCGGTGTTGCACCAGTGAGCCGCTAATAAAGCAAACAGGAAGCGGAAAAGCTGCAGGCTGTTGTTCAGCCGCAGGAGGTAAAGATGCTGCAGACTGAATGTTTGGTGTTTCTATGCAGATAAAACAGGTAGAAACTTTTTTATTCTACGTGTTTCTTCCAGAATAATGGCGGATGAGGAAGAGGAGGCGGGCTTCGAGGAGGAGCTGGATGATGGCTCCGGCGGGATGGACTCCTCCGGCCACGGCCGCAGGAAGAGGCTGTTCTCCAAGGAGCTCCGCTGCATGATGTACGGCTTCGGGGACGACCAGAACCCTTACACGGAGTCCGTGGACATCCTGGAGGACCTGGTGATCGAGTTCATCACGGAAATGACGCATAAAGCCATGTCCATCGGGCGGCAGGGGCGCGTGCAGGTGGAGGACATCGTTTTTCTGATCCGCAAAGATCCCCGGAAGTTCGCCCGCGTCAAAGACCTGCTCACCATGAACGAGGAGCTGAAGAGGGCCAGGAAAGCTTTCGATGAGGCCAATTATGGCTCCTGATGGACGCACACCTTCTGTTAAAGCGCACCTGGATGACGTCATTGATCCATATTAATCATTTCCTGTAATTGCTGAATAAAGTCTGACTGATTATTAGTCTCCAGCTAATAGTTCATCAACCGCCTCTATTGATGTAGTAAAAGGAGCTTTTTTAAAACTACAAAATAATAAAATAAAAATATTAAAGGAACATTTTTCTACTATTGTGGATGATAACTTCCTTAGACTTCATTTTTTTAGCTTTATAATCAACGGTAACAGAGTCAGATCTTGAAAAACTGTTTATTTTGGTCTGTGAGCAACAGGTTGGGGCAGCATCGACTCCAACCACAAAGAAATTAAATGGATGAAACTAATTATTTTGATGGTTTTTATGTTTTTTAAATACCAACATTCCAGAATGAAAATGAGCTTAAATGAAAGAAAACTAACCAGTTTATTTTTAAATGTAAGCGTAGAAAAGTTGTCTAAATAATAATTCCTCCATTAAAGCATAAATAGCCAACATTTCTACTGAAGGAAGGAAACTCTGCACCACATGGAAAACATCAAACCAAAGAGATGAAAATGTTTTGCGCTGCTCTAAACTTTCACATCGATGCATTTTGAACTTGGTTTTTTCTCCCAAACTGTTAACATTTAATCACAGCTTCACTTTATTTCACTGCTGAGCTGCTGATCAATCACTGTCTGAAAGATATACTCCATGAAAGTTAGTTTTGTATAAACTCTATAAAACGATATTACTGGTAATCTTAGTCTAAAAGACAAATGTTCTGGATAAAACTATAGATTTTTATGTTTTTTTGTTTGTTTTTTTAATACCGACAGGCCGTAATAAAAACGAATGAAAATAGAGTCTATTTTTTTAAAATTTAAGGAATACAAAGATACAAGTTATTTTAAAAAATAATGACTCCAGTAAATAATAGATAATAGTGATGCTTAATGAGGCATCAGGAAGCCAAACTACTGATTCTGTCTGACTGAATACTGACACCTGCTGGACATTTACAGACACTACAGGCAGCTGATTGCACAGAATAAACTGATCTATTACAATGATATCATTAAAGATACTGTAGGTTACATATTATTATTTCAGATCCTAGTCTAAATTGAAAACATCTTTGATATTTTTAGATGTATCAGATAAATAATGTAAACTTCTATCATACAGTGATAATTTAGGGTAAAATGTGAATGAGGATGCTTGAGGACTAGGATTTTAAATCATATTTCTAAAACAATAAGTTCAGTAAAAACAGCAAATAAACTAAGAGTCCATTTGAAATGAACTTTAATTCAGATCAGCTGAGTGATAACTGAGAGGAAAAGGATAAAACAAAGAGAAAATAAAAACCACAGCTGAAAGGTTCCTATTCCTTTTTCCTCCTGGATCATTTTAACGATAAAAGATGAGACTTTTTTTCTCAGCAGATGCATCATGTTGACAGAAACGTTTTTAAACCCAGTTCAGTGAATCAGTTAGAAACAGCTCCTGGATCGGTCACATGACTGACTGGAAACCAGACGCCATGAAGCCACGCATCAGGGTTGATGGACCCATCACTACCGATTTTAAACTGCTTAAAGTATAAAAAGTCAAAGTAAAGCAGGACAAACTGTTAAGACCAGAATCTTTCCTGCTCTGCTCTATTAAAGGAACATTTTCCTACCAGTCTGGATGATAACTTCCTTAGACTTTATTTCATTAGTTTTAGAACTAATGGTAACAGCGTCAAATTTACCTTTGCATCATCTTGGAAAGCTATTTATTTTGGTTTGTAGTGAGCAACACGTTGGGGCAGCACCGAGTCCAACCAAAGAAATTAATTGGATGTGCTGGTGAGGATTCTCAGTCATCAGAGTCATTCCCAAAATGTTAAAATCAATCCACTGGACTTTGTTTCCAAGTTTAAAGACGTTTCTCTTCCATTCAGGAAGATTTTTCAATCCAAAATGTCTGGATTAGCGTTCCAGGTTCCAGGCTTTATAGAGCGGACCAGCAAAGCCTCGTTACAGCTTAAGAACTGAAGAAACAGCTCCACCCCTCTGTAATGGGGAGTCATCAGGGTCATTGTTGGTGATCGGCTCCCCATTACCAACAGCTGGACCCGTTCATCAGTTTCTATTTGCATGTTTTCTAAACTAAAACCAGGCTTTGTTGGGCTGCTGGATAAAACCTGGAACTAAACGCTATTTCTGACATTTTGAAATGAAAAATCTTCCTGGATGGAAGAGAAACGTCTTCAGACTTGGAAACAACGTCTAGAGGATTGATTTTATCTTTTTGGAATTGTCTGGATGGAACAAATTATTTTTATGTGTGTTTTTTTTTTTAAATACCAACAAACCTTAACAAAATTTAGCTTAAATGAAACAAAACCAATGAGTATGTTTTTAAAATATAAGGAGTAGAAAGTGAGATTTTAAAGGAAATGATTACATCAGTAAAGTACCAAAGCATTTGTTCTTAGTTACTTGACAGACGTGGGACGTATGAACCCCACCAGACTCAGCTAAAAGCAGCAGCTGGAACCGCTGAGGGTCTGAAGTTCAAACCTTTTCTGTCGGCCAAAGTCATGGAAGGTAAACAAGCTGCTATGTTTGAGGGAAACGTTTCCCACTGCAGGTCAAACACCGTGGTAGAAGTTTAATGGCTTCTCTGCTCCATGTTCTGGTTAAACTGATGAGAGCGTCCATCCTGCTCTACCTCAGGGAGCTTCTCTGGCTCCCAGGTGTTTATTCAACGTTGCACTCTGCCAGCGATACAGCAACAAAGACAAAGAAACAAACAACCAGGATAACAGAGCAGAGTCTGAGTGGATGCGGCATAAACAAGCTGCAGGTGAGACCCGCCTGCAGTCGGTCCTGATTGAGGCCTAACTGGGTTTGGATGTTTTTCTGCTCCAGGTCCGAGTCCGGAAGAGTCCTGCTGGTATCATCAGAAATCAGATCAGGGTTTCAGGCGATGGTTTAGATCATCGTTAACGTTTCTACCTGCTGGTTTTCACACTTTTCTACTGGAAAGCAGCTTTCAGTGAATCTTAAAGCAGAATATTCTGCTGAGTCCTTTGATCAGCTAAATTCCTGCAAAGGTTCAGGCAGAACGTTGAAGGTGAGGAATTAAACTCTGTCGGCTTCTTGGTGGAAAACGGGACGGAAACAAATTCTGAGTTTGACAAAAAAATAAAGAAACAAAAAGATTTTATTGCAATTCCTCAGAACAAAAGTATTTTTTTACACAGACCATAAACATGACAGACCAACTGGACAGGAGGCGGTGTTAGTTCATTTATTCTGTTCAAGCAACTTACTTCTTTGTACAGTAAAGTCTTTGGATTTATTGGTCTATGCAGCAGGTAACAGGCTGCCAATCTGTCTAGACTAGATCTAGATCACAGCTTTACCAGTGGGCGAGGGGGGGGTGCTTGCTCCCCACTCACAGGGTGGCATCAGCACAGTAAAAATGACAAACTGTCTGCATTTATCACAAGTCAGGGACTAATAAAGCCCAGCTACCCCCCCGCCAGGGTGGAGGGGGGGCGGGACGGTGTGTGGGTGGGTGCTTCTTTAGGGAACCAGAGGGAGGTGGAGGAATGTCCATGAGTCCGTCAGTCCTTACTGCACATTCTCCATCATCTTGAGGAATTCTGGAGGAAACAGAAGAACATCAGCGGTTAGACGTCCAGAACGAGCGGCTGTTCATCCGACCCTGGATGGTACCGATCCGATACCGATCCGATACCGATCCGATACCGATCCGATACCGATCCGATACCTTCATCCAGAGCCTCATCGTTCTCCTTCACCGGCCGCCATTTTGAATTTTACTAAAACATTCTTGTTTCAGCTGCAATTAGCTGATTGATTAAAATGATCGATTCATTTCATCCGATATTACAGACACGTTTAAGACATTTGGTTAATTTCTGAGATGAAGCTTATTTTCAGACTAAACACATTTTAAAGATAAAACATTAAAAAAAGTCCATATTTTGAATAGAAATTATAAATTCTATATGTAAATGTTTTACTCTACTGAACAGAAAAGCATCAGTCAGTGTGATTAATAACCAACCTTAATGTGTTTAAACTACTGAAATAAAACAACTCAATAAAATATTATATATAATTAACAGATAATCGTACAGGAGGTGTTTAATGTTTGCCTCCACCCTACAGTAGATGTTTAATGTTTGCCTCCACCCTACAGTAGATGTTTAATGTTTGCCTCCGCCCTACAGGAGGTGTTTAATGTTTGCCTCCACCCTACAGGAGATGTTTAATGTTTGCCTCCGCCCTACAGGAGGTGTTTAATGTTTGCCTCCGCCCTACAGGAGGTTTTTAATGTTTGCCTCCACCCTACAGGAGGTGTTTAATGTTTGCCTCCACCCTACAGGAGGTGTTTAATGTTTGCCTCCACCCTACAGGAGGTGTTTAATGTTTGCCTCCGCCCTACAGGAGGTGTTTAATGTTTGCCTCCACCCTACAGGAGGTTTTTAATGTTTGCCTCCACCCTACAGGAGGTGTTTAATGTTTGCCTCCACCCTACAGGAGGTGTTTAATGTTTGCCTCCACCCTACAGGAGGTGTTTAATGTTTGCCTCCACCCTACAGGAGGTTTTTAATGTTTGCCTCCACCCTACAGGAGGTGTTTAATGTTTGCCTCCACCCTACAGGAGGTGTTTAATGTTTGCCTCCACCCTACAGGAGGTGTTTAATGTTTGCCTCCACCCTACAGGAGATGTTTAATGTTTGCCTCCGCCCTACAGGAGGTGTTTAATGTTTGCCTCCACCCTACAGGAGGTGTTTAATGTTTGCCTCCACCCTACAGGAGATGTTTAATGTTTGCCTCCACCCTACAGGAGGTGTTTAATGTTTGCCTCCACCCTACAGGAGGTGTTTAATGTTTGCCTCCACCCTACAGGAGGTTTTTAATGTTTGCCTCCACCCTACAGGAGGTGTTTAATGTTTGCCTCCACCCTACAGGAGGTTTTTAATGTTTGCCTCCACCCTACAGGAGGTGTTTAATGTTTGCCTCCACCCTACAGGAGGTGTTTAATGTTTGCCTCCACCCTACAGGAGGTGTTTAATGTTTGCCTCCACCCTACAGGAGATGTTTAATGTTTGCCTCCGCCCTACAGGAGGTGTTTAATGTTTGCCTCCACCCTACAGGAGGTGTTTAATATTTGCCTCCACCCTACAGGAGGTGTTTAATGTTTGCCTCCACCCTACAGGAGGTGTTTAATGTTTGCCTCCACCCTACAGGAGGTGTTTAATGTTTGCCTCCGCCCTACAGGAGATGTTTAATGTTTGCCTCCACCCTGGTGGAGGTGGTGTTTGCAGATTAAATCCTTCCTCCATCTGACCGTCAAAGTCCAGCATGCCGTCTGCGTTCTTGTCTCCGTCCTTCAGAAGCTCATCGATCTCCTCCTCTGTGATGCTCTCGCCGCTGCTGCGGATGATCTGAGCGAACTCCTCCCTGTCCACGTAGCCGTCCCCGTTCCTGTGGGAAACACAGGTGGAGGTTTTAGCAGACGGGCTGTGAAGCCACAGATTCTGCTCTCTGATCCAAACGCACTTGTCGAAGACACGGAAGCACTCCGCCAACTCCTCCTCGCTCTTGCCGGCCTGGTCCTCCTTGAGCAGCCTCACCATCATGACCAAGAACTCCTCGAAGTCGATGGTTCCGCTGCCTGATGGTGAGCAGAGAACCAGGATGGCCGATTATTGGTTATTAATTAGTGATCATTATATATTCTATTATCAATGGGAGATTATTTCAAACCAAATAGATCTGAATCAGATCAACTTCTGTCCTCTTTCTGTCTGCCAGCTGATTACCAGAGGTGTCAAGTAACAAAGTACAAATACTTCATTACTGTACTTATCTATACTTTACTTCATTACTTCATTTCTTCCTCCTTCTTCTTCTACTCATTCCATTTTCACACCAGTATCTGTTCTTTCTATTCGTTACATTTTTAAATCAATCGTTACTCGTTACTCTTGGCTTCGGTTTAATGTTTCTAAATCTTTATTTCCCGTCATGTGCTCCATCCAATGCAGATCATTGGCTCCGCCCACATCTAGTGAAAACTAGTGTGATTGGATGAGTCATAGAAGGCAAACACTCATTGGTTAGCTAAAGGAAATCATCAGAAGCCAGCAGGTGTTCTTCAAACTGCTAACGTGAATTGTCTATGCCATGCTACAATGTGGGATTCAGAAAAAGATGCTGAAATGTCTGAAAGGTCGGACACAGGCGAGAGCGTATCGGGAGACGGAGACCAACCAGACCTCCCTCATCCTCGGCCCTATCTCAGAGGATTATAGAAATAGAGCTTTCAGTTCATATAGCGGCATCTATCTGTTTTTATTAAAGGTTACTTTATAGTTTTATACTTTCAGTATTTTTGGAGCACATACTTTTTCACTTTTACTTGAGTAAAGAGGTCAGGTTGATACTTTAACTTTTACCAGAGTGTTTTTAAACTGCAGGATCTAAACTTCTACTGAACTAACAAATACTTTTGACTCCGCTGCTGATTATGGAGGAGAGTTTTTTTATGAAGTCCATCTCACCATCCTCATCAACCTCCTCGATGATTTCATCCAGCTCCTCTCTTGTGGGGTTCTGGCCCAGCATCCTCATCACGGTACCCAACTCCTTGGTGCTGATGTCACCGCCGCCATCGGTGTCGAACAGATCAAAGGCAGCTTTGAACTCTGAGGGAAAGGTGGAGATGAGCCGCTTTAATCCGAGAAACACTAAACACTTCATCATTATGAAGATGGTGATGAAGAGTAAAGGCGCCCAGCTTGTTGCTATGGTAACATTGATAATTTAGGTGCGTTGAAATGCCAGTAAATCTATAATGTGTAGTTCTATGTGTGCCCTGGATTTGATGGTCTTTGAAACATCAGGCAATATTCCTTCAGTTCAGCTGAATGTTTATGATCATTTTATTATTATTCAGTTTTTCTGTAGACATCTTGATGAACATGCAGGAAACGCTGACAGCTTGTGGTGGAGAAGCAAACGAGATGAGCAGCTGATCTTTATGGTCCTAATTTAAGAATCAGTCCTCTTCTTGCAGCAGGTTTATGCTCTAAATTCTAGCACGTTGTTTTTTTGTCAGTACTCACCAGACAGCATTTCCTCGCTCAGGTAGGAGCGGGCCTCTTGTTGAGCGTCAGTCTGTAAAAGAACAGACATTATTTCCCTCCAGGCCTCATTATCGCTCTAACCCACAGCAGTGGAGATCATCCAGCTTTTATTTTCTGCGTCTCCTTTATCACAAACTACTGGACAGCAGATTATATCTCTGCAGATAAAGAAAATCATTCTAAATCCTATTTAGATTTAGAATGCAAAGTGAATTCTAAATCCTAGAAACTTGAAAGTGTGTTTTAATTGAAATAACATCAGAATCCTTTGGGTTATAAACTGAAATTGTTTCCAGGTTTTGTTCGACAACATTCCCAATGATTTCCCAAAGAAATGTTGCTGCGGGTCACATGTTGCTTCTCAAAAGGACTTATGGTTGAAAATGAGTCCAGCTATTTCAGGCCTCCCCCCCCCCCTCCTGTATATGGCCTGGAGACATCCAATCCCCTGGAATCTGATTCCTAAGCAGAATCTGCACTTTCCCAGCTGACCCTCCATCCTGCTGCTCATCAGCGTTCAGCATTAAGACATAAAGGATAACGGACTGAAACTTTCTCTGTTTAAAGAACAGAAATCAGAGAAATAGAAGCTTTAGGTTCAGTTTGATCATGAAAGCAAAGTGTATTAAATACAAAGATAAACATCCTTCTGCCTCCAGCAGAAGAAAAGCCACAGGATTATTAGTCCATCATATTCGCATTTCTTCATCATTTCGCTTTGCGTTTCAAACAGCCTGGATTACAGATGAACTCCTCAGATCAGCTAAAGTTAATTCATCTTACCATGTTTGATTAGCTTTCCCTCCAATTATCCGCTGCAGAAAGAAAAGCCCAAAGGAGTGGTCAATCCGTGTGCACCCCAACAGAGAGACTAGACATCAAGACAAGGTTCAGACACACTTTAAACGGGGCATCCAGGCCCCTCCCACTGCGGCTCACAGGATTCCAGATTTAGTATCCTGAACTTTTAGGGTTCTGGGGCCAGGGCAGGCCAATCACACCTAGGGCTCCCAGGCTCCTGGCACGCTGCAAAAAAAAAGAGAAAGAAATCTAAAATCTAATCATTGTTTTCTAGAATTGAGGAGGAAAGTGAGACACTTTGCCAATAGAACAAAACAACTTACATTTTAAATAAGAAAAAACTATTGCATTGTCTTATTTGTTTTTGTCTTAATATTATCTAATTATCTTATTCTAAGAGTAAAATGTCATTCTATTATTTATCTGCTCAAATTAAAGGTTAATACACTTGATTTAAGAAATGTTTCCTTATTTCTGGATTGTTTTTGCAGTGCATGAAGCCAAGCAGCCTGAGCAAAGGAGGTGATTATAGTTTCGATTTTATTTTATTAGTTAGTTTAGATTTTATTTCTAAATGGAGGAAAACTGAGGGAAGAATCCAGAAGAGGAAGGATGAAGAAACTGGATCAACTTCCAGCCAAAGGAAGCAGGAAGTTCTGCTGCTATAAAATCAGCATAAAGGGATGTTACTATGACCAAAAAACAACTAAAATACAGATCCTCTGGTCAGAGAGGTGGGGTGGGGGGGCCGTCTGTTCCTCCCTGAGGCTGACCCCGCCCTCACTGTGACCCCGCCCTCACTGTGACCCCGCCCTCACTGTGACCCCGCCCTCACTGTGACCCCGCCCTCACTGTGCCCTGAATAGCTGATCCATGTCCGGCTGAACAGGGGAGAAGATCAAGCCCCTCCTACATCCGGGCGCTGAGACACCCAACCTGATGCTTCCAGTGGGGGGGTGTTCATTGGTGATGGGGGGGGCTTGCAGGCTATAAACCTGCAGGCTGCAGCAGGGCGATAAAAGGCTCCCTGACCGCCTGCTTCAGGCCTCTGGTGGCGAGGCGGTCTGCTTGATGCTCTGGGAGAAACACAGACTTTAGGCCTAGATCAGAGTTTATTACTCAGATCTAAATGATGAAAATCAGGAGGAAAAACTTTGGAGAACAGCTCTGCTTTACACTGGGAGACAGACAGGGAGACAGAGAGACAGGCAGACAGACAGCGAAAGAGACAGACAGGCAGAGAGACAGGGAGACAGAGAGACAGGCAGGGAGACAGAGAGACAGACAAAGAGACAGACAGGGAGAGAGACAGGTCTGATTGAAACTAACTGACTGGAGAAGCTAACAGCCACCAACAGGTCTGTATGTTTATAGAAAATGAGAAAAACAGGCAGCAGGCCGTAGAGGCTTGCTGCTGGGGGTGGGGGGGGGTTCGGTTCAGATGGAGCTCAGCCCTAGGTAACCGGGGGTGGGGGGGTGGGGTGGGGGGGGTTGCATTTCTGGTGACACGGCAGCTGCCAGCAGGACAGCTGAGAGGACGGAACAAGGAGGCGTCTTGGTCTTAAATGGTCTGAATGTATATTTATAGAGATGTGGGTTTGACATGAGAAGGAGGACAAGGAGACGCTGGGGGGGTAACTCCTTTATTATCTTTACACTTTTTATACAGTTGGAGTTTCTTTGCTGAGGAGATTCAGTTTGTTCTGGAGGAGGCGCCGTGAAGGAATGTAGGACTGGACCGGTTACTGGACATTTTCCATCATCTTCAGAAACTCTGGAGGAGAAAACACAGATCAAATGTCCATCAGCCGTCCACACAGAGACAACCCAACGATCTGAGGAGCAAATGTCCATCAGCCGTCCCCACAGACATAATCCAATGGTCTGAGGAGCAAATGTCCATCAGCCGTCCACACAGAGACAACCCAACGATCTGAGGAGCAAATGTCCATCAGCCGTCCCCACAGACATAATCCAATGGTCTGAGGAGCAAATGTCCATCAGCCGTCCCCACAGAGACAATCCAATGGTCTGAGGAGCAAATGTCCATCAGCCGTCCACACAGAGACAACCCAACGATCTGAGGAGCAAATGTCCATCAGCCGTCCCCACAGACATAATCCAATGGTCTGAGGAGCAAATGTCCATCAGCCGTCCCCACAGAGACAATCCAACGGTCTGAGGAGCAAATGTCCATCAGCCGTCCCCACAGAGACATAACCCATGATGTGAGGAGCTACCAAGCAAACTGATGGAATAATAAACCCAGAGCAGCTCAATAATCATTCATTAGGAACCTCATTAAGATACTTTTTACATTTTACTTCCTGAACAGTTTATTTATTTTTATTTTTACAGATTCACTCACTTTCTCAACACAAAGGTCTGACTGTACCTTCAGTGCTTGTGGTGCAAAGTAATCACGCCCCCTTGAATAACCCCCCCTAATAAAGATAGAAATGATCCACAGTCTGGATCTGATTCAACCCCCTTTGACCTCCAGCTGCAGAGCAGAAAAGCTGCAGGTTTCAGGCGGACCACATTTCAGGCTTTGACTAGGCCACTTTATTTATCCCAGCCATCCTTTTCTAGTTCTGTCAATCTCCCACCCCCTCTGACAGGCTTCAGTGTTGAAGGAAAGCTTCCCCACAGCATCACACCGCCACCATCTGCTGGGTCTGTCTCCTCATTCTGTGCCACATTCTGCATGTTGGTCCGTCGGTTTTATTCAAGCAGAGGAGCTTTTTCCACATGTTGTCCATGTCTTGTGGTTTCTACGCTCCACTCGTCTGTTTAGGCAGTTTTCTGGGTGATCAGCTCAGAATTACCAGACTGACAGATTTTCCAACCAGATTAATTCTATTCAGTTTATTTCTATAGCTCCAATTCACATCATGTCATCTCAGGTCACTTTCCAGTTCACCAGATCATCCAGTCAGATTGATTCAAAGTTTTCTATCTAAGGAAAACCAGCTGATTGCATCGACTCATTGACTCTTCAGCAATCCCTCACACTAAGCATGCTTGTAGCGACAGTGGAGAGGAAAAACTCCCTTTGAACAGGAAGTTAAAAGGGAGTGATCCACATTATATTGGCTTGGCTTTATAGGTCTATTACTCTCTTTTGATTTTCAAATGACGAGATGAGAGGAGATGGGATGTCGTATCTTGACCCGACCCAACTTTAAACATCCCTATTAGTTGACCTCTGAGCTGCCAGCTGGGTTCTTTGGTCTTCATGTTCTCAAACAGAACAGCTGAGGCCTCCACAGAGCAGCTCAACGTATAAAAGGGTTTTAATTTTTAATTTTAATTGGCTGCACTGGGTTTTATTTAGGGGTTTATCTGTAGAGAGGGTTTAAACCAATGCAGACCAAGCTTTGAATATTCTGATCTGAGCAAATTTCTGAAAACTGTTTCCTGCTAGTTTGACTAATTTGGCCTTCAGATAGAGAAGCAGATCAACGCTGTGAGGTTTGTGTTTGTAATGAAATATTTCTCTTTCTGCAGGTGTAGAGCCAGACTTCTGTTTTTAATCTTTTTTCTTCTCTGTTCTTTCCTCTCTTTTAACCTTTTAGCCCTCCTCTCTCCATTCCTTCCCTTCCTTTTCCCTTTATTTTCCGTCTCTCCAGCCCTGCCATTCGATGTCACCCTGAATCTACCACAGTTTTTATCCATACGGCTCCACTTTGAAAGGAAATCTCCTGGTCTTCTGTTCTTCCTCTCTTGGTGCTCAGGCAGCTATTCAGAGAGCTACTTTGCTGAGAGGACACTTAAAATAGAAAAGTTTCATGACTATAAATACATTTGTGGGAACTACGGAAGGCTGACTAACAGGTATGGCTGCTTTCGCTTCCCTCAGGAGATGCAGTCATTTAAAGTATTTATCCATCATCTATCCTACATATTTCTACTGTTATAGCCTAAAGTCAGTGTTCATAAGTAGTTATGAATGTTTGTTTATTAGCTATAAAACTGTCTTCCTAAATAAGGGCCAATGAAAGTGTCCTTCTTGCAGTACCGTATGCGGTCACTAGATGTCGCCACTTCAACCTCTCTGGTGTGTTCCCAGTGCTCCCAGTGAATCAGGTGGACTGACTGTTTTCACTCTGATCAGTGTGTTGATAATTATAATAAATGTATAACTGAAAATAAAAACTCTGTTCCTTGGTAGTGGGTTTGATTATAAGGTGGTTTCTGTAAAATGCTGCTAAAAAGCTCAGTCTTACCATCAAAATCTATTTTTCCATCTTTGTTTGTGTCTGATTCACCAAACATTTCATCAATATCTTCTTCTGTGACTTGTTCTCCAGTCATATGAAGGATGTCTCCAAATTCTTCCCGGTCAACAAAACCGTCTCCGTTCCTGCAGGGAGAGAGAAACTCTTAGAGCGGCTGCTTCCCATCTCATTTCTCTTTAACGTCTTCACACCAACAAACAGAGTTTATGATGAAAAGATCAGCTTCGTCTTTAAAGCTGGTTTTCATCTAAAGGAGCCATGGATGTTTGATTTCTCTGATCTCATTATAAGCAGCTTGCAAATATAACCTTTCTGAATTATAGTGATGTTTAACAGATACCCTCAGGTTTGGTTTTGGTCAGATCTATGTAGGTTTAGGGATCTAAGATGCGCCTCTGATTGAAGACCGTGACAGGATCAAACAGCCCGAGGCTTTCAGAAACAAAACATCAGGTCTTTCCATTCAGTGGCCCACAGCAGGAGGATATTCAGAGAAGCTGCAGCACGTCCAGATCTGCGTCCAAGGTTGCTCAATCAGTGTCATGTTGGCAGAAATCAGGCGGTAAGAAGCTTACAGGAATTCAAGAGGAAGTGGAATTTCCGGGGCGTTGCCAAACCTCACACCCTGATCTCTCTGGGATGCTGCTCTTAAAGATCTCACAGCTGAAAATGAGAGGTGCTCAAAGACCAGCAAATGGCTGCAGGTGTTTCTAGAAATCCTGGCATGTGCAGCTTATAAATGTGTCCTGCATAAATGGCGTCCCAGTGATTCATTGCATTATTCTCAGTGTATTTGTTTGTTTAGCTGAAGCACATGTTGCTGCAGTGTTTTCCACAGCCAGTATGCCCAGTGACAGCTGGTCTGTGCAACAAAGCTATTAAACATCAGCTCATTATTTCATCCAGAAAGCAGATCATAAGGGGCTTACAGGAGTTCATGGCCTTTTTTCAATACGCGTACTTGTCCGTTCTCATGTGGTGGTGAAATCATGAAACGTCATCAGCCTCAGGTCCCGTCCACACGAAGTCAAACCCTGGCCTAAACGCACTAATTTTTCACCAAACCAGCCTCTCATCCATACGAAGCCGGCGTTTCGGGGGTCTGTAAACGATCTTTTTTTTATTCAGCCTTCAGAGTGGGAAGATTTTGAAACGCCGTTTTCGCGTTTCCATCTTTAAGCTCTAACCGCATTTTTTTTTTACACGCATGCGTCATAGCGTCGCCTCTAAACACGCATGCACGACACAGTATCACAACAACAATGGCGCCGTACTGTGTTGAATGGTTGCTGCTAATGCTACTCACCCTGCTGTCGGGCTTACAACAGAATCTTCTTCTTCTGGAATATCTCCAGGAAGAACAGAGCAATATCGACCACATAGTTCAGCACCTGAATTTGACTGAACCACCAAAATGGACCCGCAGGGCAACCATGTATAAATATTACTGCGCATGCCCAACATTTCGTCGCCTACTATTGCTTTGGCACCACAGCGCCACTTACAGGCCTGGCATACATTTTGCAGCGTTTTCATGCATTCATGTGGACGCTCACATTTATTTTACGTCTCCGTCTTTAAGACAAGCGTTCTGGAAAATATTAGCGTTTCGTGTTCGTTTTGACTTCGTGTGGACGGGGCCTCAGCCCCAGCGCTGATCCAGTTCACAAGAATGCTGGTGAAGAGTCTCAGGGAATTGTTGGACTGGCTGAACAGGCGAGGCCATCCGCCTATTCAGCCAGGCCAACATTTCCCTTTAACGATCCTCCCTTCACACACTCACATGGGTATGGGGCATTGGAGGCTAACAAAAGAAACCAAATGGCCCCCATTCCTCTGACAGAACCCAGGCTGCCGTACACAGGCGGCACCGGGACCTTGGACCACCATCATTAGCCTGAGCATTGAGTTTGAACTGACTTCCCTAAAGCTGCAGGGAAAACTCCACCATCCATTGTCGCCGTTATCGACCATCGTGAGGCCCCCCCCCCCCCCCCCCCCCCCACACAGTCTCACTGCCCCAGTGGTCACAGAGGCTGAGTTTTTGGAGAGGCCCTGGGAAAAGCCAGCCTCAAAGCACCTCTGGCAAACATCTGGAATGAAAAGCAGGGGCACTGTAGGGGGTACACTTCAGGAGTACGGAGTCAGGGGCCCTTTGCTAGGGGCCATTTGGTCTCTGTACAAGCAGATCAGGAGATTGTGCTGAATTAGCAGCATTAAGGTACAGCTGTTCCGGGTCTATGTGGGACTCCGACACGGATGACCTCTGTCCCCAGTCCTGTTCAGCACCTTTATGGACAAGATTTCAAGGTGCAGCCGACGGCCAGAGGGCGTCTGGTCTGGGGCCCAGCAGATCTCGTTCTGCTGGCTCCCTCCAGCCAACATCAAGCAAGCACTTGGACAGTTCGCAGTCGAGTTTGAAGCGGCTGGGATGAGAGTCTGGCACCATGGTTCTCATTTGAAAAAAGGTGACTTGTCCTGTTCAGCTTTGAGGAGAGTTCATGTCTTAAATGGAAGATCTCAAGTGTCTTGTGGTCTTGTTCACGAGGGGAGAATGGATCAGCCAAACCAAAGAATGATTTGTTGGGCTGCTGCTGTAATGCAGATAATGCACCTGTCTGTTGAGGTGAAGAGTGAGCTGAGCGAAAGGGCAAAGCCCGGGATTGACCAGTTGGTCTACGTTCCTACCCTCACCTATGGTCGAGAAATCATGACTGAAAGAATGTGATCCTGGATACAGAAAATATCCTCCAATGAGCAGGATAGATGCCTAAGCTCTGAGACAAATCATGACAGGATAACTGAAATAATGAGCTTTTTGTCTTTTTCTTCATTGGGGACCGGGTTGCAGGACCAGCAGGACCAGCAGGACCAGCAGCAACTCCCAAACATACTCCTCACAGTGAGATTGCATCGTTAAGTTTTCTGTCCCCCTGCTCATCATGTTCTTGTCTGGATTTTTTTGATCCTGCTCCAGACTCACCATGACATTTTGGATCCACTCTGGTCAAATTATGTGTTTTCTTACTTCTTCTGCCCAAAAAGTTTTTGCTTTATGTTTCTTCTGTCTAAAATGTTTTCATTAACAGATTAGATTTTTCAGAGTTTGGTGCTTCTTAAGTGAAACTAATGAGATTCTATTACAGAGGGTCCTACTTGTCAAAGATGCGGAAACACTCTGAAAGTTCCTCTTCGCTCTTGCCGGCCTGGTCCTCCTTCAGCTGCTGCACCATCATGACCAGGAACTCTTCAAAGTCGATAGTACCGCTGCCTGAGGACACATGGATTCGGGTCAAACACATTTTACTGTCATTCAGTAACTTCTTGGTTTTCTCAAGTTAGATTTGTGAAATATGTGAAATTGGGCTTTAAACTGCTGTCACTGCAGGGTGTTTCTCTGAGATAAAGGCCTCGGTCCATCAGGTGAATGAAAACAATCGGCAGAACGACCAGGGAGAAGAGGTAAGTTAGGGGGTCTCAGCAGAGGCTCCCAGTCTTCCCTCTCTCCAGACTCCTCCTCCAGCTCTGTTGGGGGGGGGGGGGGGGGGGGGGGGGGGGTTGCAAGGTGCTTCCAGGCCAACACAGAGACATAAGCCCCATCTCCACTACCCTCTGAAAACCGATCCCAGCGAGCTTGGATCAGTTCACTGTGCCAAGCTCTGTTCCTTCAGGCCGTTTACACGCCACGCTAGCACGGTTCCTCAGCGCCTTGCGGCGATCTACGCTACTACTGCTCTCTAGAGGTAAACAAGTAGACCAACATGGTGGCGTCCGTAACATTGAGGAAGTTTGCAGAGAGTCAGGAGAAGAAGGCAGCCTTTGGTGAATTTCCTTGACAGTCGGCTTTGGGAAGTGGATACGACAAACGATCGTCTAATCAGGGCTTCCAGACGCAGGAAACAACGACCAACGTTGAGGTTCATCACACTGCTGAGCAGAATCACCACTGGAAAAAACATGTTCACACATCCTAAGAATAATAATTGAGCTTTATTGATCTCACATTGGAAAAATGTACCTCTGCATTTTACCCGTCCCCTTGGGGAGCAGGGGTCTGCCATCGTGGGGCACCCAGGGAGCAGTGAAGGTTAAAGGAATAGTACACCCAAAACATGATTAGCCTTCATTTTCTACTCACCCCCATGCTGAACAACACTCTGGAGTACTTTTTTGATATCTCAAATGCATCTGGAGATCTGGGAGGCTTCTTGCTGTCTGCTGACATTCAAATAATGGAGGTCTATGGCGCCCGAGGCAGAAAGGTCCATAAAAGTCCACAAAAAATGTGTCAATATTCCTCCATACTGCTCGTCCAATGTATTCCAAGTGTCCTGAGTGGGTAGCATCCAGAATTTACTCGAAACGAAGTCATTTAGAATGTTTTTAGAGCATAAACATTAGTGTATAGGATTTCCTGAAAGCGCGCACATGCGCGCTCCCGATGCTACAGAAGCCGGCAGACCAAACCAGCGCATTCAGCTCGGCAAAGAACTCATGCTCTTCCTCAACACTGAAGTCCTCAGACATTTTTCTTTCGTTGTTTCTTTCTTTGCACAGGTAAACAGCACATTTCTTCTTCTACGCTTGCATTATCGGCAGAGCAGACGCTGAATGCGCACTTTCATCTGGTTTGGTCTGCCGGCTTCCGTAGCATCATGAACGCGCCGGCGCGCGCTTTCAGGAAATCCTATACACTACTGTTTATGCTCTAAAAACATTCTAAATGACTTCGTTTCGAGTAAATTCTGGATGCTACCCACTCAGGACACGTGGAATACATTGGACGAGCAGTATGGAGGAATATTGACACGTTTTTGTGGACTTTTATGGACCTTTCTGCCTCGGGCGCCATAGACCTAAACACTAGGCCGCCACTCCAGTTGGCTCCTCGTCAGAGAATGGAACCCTGGTCTCCTAGGTGACAGGCGGGGATAATCTCCACTATAATACCGCGGAACGTGAACTTTTTATTCTCTCCAGCACTGTTTCTACAACTGGGCCTGTAGCTGGTACAGCCTAGTTGCAGCGTTCAGTGTGATGAACACATCCACGCTACAGCTGTGCGGCGACTGCACCATGTAAGCCCAGTGTTATGGAGGATCCATAAAACATGGAGTTTCTTTCTGTGTGGAACAGGGAACAGGGTTCCTGCAGGTTCTTCCTTTTATGCTACAGCAGCCTTTAGATGCTGGTTGAACCTGCAGGCCTGAGTTGTTCAGAAAGCTAGTCTGAAGTCTAACATATTGCTTGCTGATGAATAACACCCCCCACAGCAATCAAATACCGCCCTGGGTATCTCCTTATTTAGACTCACATCAACACCCTGTTCGGACTTGAGCCGTGAACAGCGGTTCTGACAGAGACTGGACCGGGGTTCCGGTCAAACGAGTCCAGAGATGTTTGTCCTGATCATCTCTTCTTTAACCTGAAGATGATGCATGAAGGAACTCATTCAGCTTCTCTAATGTGCTGAGTAGCAGCAGGGAAGCATCTAAACCATGCAGGGACCCGCCTAAGCATTTCAGGACCAGTGCTTTGGTACGACAGACATGAAACCAGAGCACAAAAAAGGTCAACCTTCATGTTTCACTGCATCCTCACCATCCTCATCAACCTCCTCAATGATGGCATCCAGTTCCTCTCTAGACGGGTTCTGGCCCAGCATCCGCATCACGGTGCCCAGCTCCTTGGTGCTGATGTCACCGCCTCCGTCTGTGTCGAACATGTCGAAGGCAGCTTTGAACTCTGTCCCAAGAGAAGAGGCAGGTCAAATTCACATGAGATCTTGATGTTTTCTCCTCCTGGCATTTCACCTCAGTTTGCACAAACCAGCAGATTGTCCAGGAAATCTGAAGGAATCAAAGGTCATTTAAAGGAAATGTGAAGGGTAAACTACCTGTTATCATTTCCTCAGTCAGGAAGGAGCGGGCATCGGTTTGGGCGTCGGTGGGCTTAGAGGGTGGAAGAAAAAGGGAGAAAAGAAGATGGAAGATGGTAAAAGAGGTCATCATGTCTGCTGAGTGATATCAGAAAAGATCATTCCTGAGATGTTGGCTTGTTGCAGGGAGAGAGAAACACCTAAGATCTTTGCAGATGATCTTGAAGGCGATCAAGAAAGCATCTAGGGAAGCATTTACATCCAGCACCAGAGAACAGACTATATAACTACAGCTAATGTAGAAAACGTGCAAAATCTGGACGTTTGCGGCTCTAAAACATATAAGAACAAAACAGATGTTCAATCAAAGTGGGTTTTTCTAAAGGAGCCTCTGCAGGTTCATCTGCTGTCAGCTGCTAATTATTTTATGTTCCTCAGTCAGTGTACGGATTTATAAATACTTTAAAAAACAGAAACCCAAGAAAGATATAAGTTTATTGCACCTATTTATCTTTTAAATAATTACATTTCTAAAACTTCTTGAAACATCTCTCTTCTTCTTAAATAGATTCACACCCCTCCTCGGTGTCACTGATTGGCTCTCTCTAGAGAGTGCTAGTTTTAGTACAGAAAGTTTTTCTTTGTTTTGACATCTTGTGTCTGACAGAAGCAGATTTGGGGAGACTTCCTGTTGTTCTCTGATCTCCTTTAAATGGGTCTCTGTGGTCACAGTCAGCCTATAGTCTGTTCTGCATCACATGTTTATACCTATTTTATCTGTTTTATCTATAAAGAGTTAAACAATAGATGATTTCTTCTTGGGAAATCTGCAGAGAGTATACTGACTGAGGTTTACATGCATCCATCTCTGCATGAACGTTTTTACTGAAGTTAGTTTGTAATGTTCTCTAGTTTCTACTCTTTATTTGCTCTTTTTTAAAGATAAATAACGTTGAGTCTAAATCTAATATTGCTGGAGGGATTTAATTAGGACTAAATGGCTTTTGCTTTTTTACTGTCTGCAGATTTAAACCCAGAACTGATTGCAGAGGTTCTACATACAAGAATCAACTGTTCATACATTTTCAATTGGGTTAAAATTTAAGATTTTTTGTGGACTTGCTTCAACTATTTTAAAACTAGTTTTTGGGATCGTTTTCCAATTGAATCCCATCCGACACAAATTTTGTCCCTCAGTTGAATGGATTTCTTGTTAGGATTCCGGGTTTTTTTTTTAAATGTTTTTCTTCTCTCCACCACCAGATGGGGCCTGTTCTCGTTGAGCCTACTTGCACACCTGCGGCTCGTTGGGTCTTTTCCAGAGGAGTATTTGAGCAGCAGGCTGTCACAACATGGACACCAGAGTGTTTGCCAGTATTTGGTACTCTAGCCAAACTGAGATTAGCAGAGTCTAACCTTAGCATGTCTCTCTGAGTCTAAACTTGCTTTGTCTTTGTTCTTCGGCAGGAAGCCTTCCTGTATCACTGGATAAGCCTGGACTCCATCTATGTTTTTGCTAACTCTCAATAAACCAGTTAACTTTTACCCTTGGTCTCTGATTGGTTCTCTGCATGGGGGTCAGATCTTTAAAGCCCATTATGACATTTCTGTCCAGATGTTTATTAACAACCAAAGCCCTGAAAGCTCAATCAAATCTCAGACTAGAAGATACTGGAAACCAGTGTCTATGTCCTCATGCACTGGTGCCGACCAAAGCAACTCCTTCAGACTTACAGATCTAACTCCAGCTAAATGGACAAAGCCAATGCATCGTGGCGAGAAACTTAATGGTCACTCAGACATGACAGAAGTTGTGGCTAATTGGTCACAATAATAATAACGAGAATGTTTGGAGGAGTCATAGTGATGCTTTCAGACCAAAACCAACTGTCCAGCAGGGGGAGGTAGTATGATGCTGAGGGCCTATGGGACTGGTCCATCGTAGACCAAAGAACTAGAAACACACACAGGCTAATGTCCAATGCTAAGCTAAGCTGAAACGAAGAGCTTCAGACCTGAAGAATCTTCTAGAGGATTATTTCTGGCCACTAAAGGGTCGCGGCTTCTTCACAGATCACCAAGAAAACATATATATCATAAATAAATGAATTAATGTTGCACATAATCATTCTACCCCCATAAAATATGGTTCAAAGAAACCCTTTAGAGCCCCAAACCTCCTGATGTCCTCCCCATGCGGAGCTTAGAGTCGGGAGGTGCTGGATTCCTCAGGGAGCTAAGATCTGAAGATGCATGTCTGCAACTGTTAGCCAGGAGGTGGAAATAGCTTCCTATCAGCATGACGTGAGGTTTAATCCAGCAGCAGTTGGCCCAACGCGTTCAGGACGCTTCTTAAAGTGGAAGTTGAGCAACTTCAGACACGCTGTTCTTCTACTCCACTGGGTCATGTGAGTCTGCTGGTCCAGTTAACTCTGCCTGGTAGCTTCTGTGCTTCAGTTAAACCTTAAACTATAGAGATAATATAAAACTACTTTCCCATATTATCTATAGTCTAAACACTCCCATCTTCTGCAGTTATTTGGACCTTTTTCCTAACAGCATTTTAAAACACTACCAGTCCTGCCATCTTGGAGCTATTTTTAAGGTGAGACTGGTAGAGGATTTGAAAGGGATTTCCTGAAGGTGACCGTCCTATTTTAGAGCTGGCAGGACAGACGGCACGCCTGCTCTCCACACAGCTGAGCGCCTTTATCTTCTGCATCACTCCTTCCTTTATAGATCTGCTTCAGAGAAACGCTCTCTGCGTAATAAGAAAAGGTTTCAGAAACAGAGAAATGTTACCAGGAGACCCAAATTAACTAAAAACATGCCAGTAGCTGAAAAATCCGAGTCGATAGGCGGTCCATTGGTTTTCCAGAGAAGGACAGTCATCTGAATGGGGCTAAAACATCTTCCTTTGAGGTAATTGCCTCTTTTTCCATAACCATCTGTAGAAATCCGGAAAAGATCAAAACGTTCTCATGTTCGCTCATCTTCCTCTCTGTCTTACCATGGCGCTGGGTTCTGCAGGTCACACACTGGAACGGAAAGTCTTCCTCCACACGGGTCGGCGTCACCGTGGCGTTCTTCTTCTCCATAAGTACCCTCTGCTCCATCACTCATCTCACTCCAAATGATCGCCATTGGGCCCCCTCATCAGAGCTGACCAATCAAAGCCCACTTTGCATTGTGCCTCCTTACAATCTCCTGATGGACATCCCCCTTCTGTGCCCCCCACTGCCCCATACTTAGATTACAGATAAGCTCACTGACATTCAGTCAGAAAAGGAAAACCCAGGCGAGGCTTCAGGAAGCTGGAGCTTCTCTCCTTAGAGATGGAGTCCTGACTCGGTGAGCCATGCAGGAAGGACAGAACTTTCCCGCTCACATAGATGCATTGAAACATGCAGGGATTAGGGCAGATTCCTAACGGACTGCATCATTCCAGCTCCGTTCATACATCCTCCTCCTGCTCCATCGTCCGCGCCGTAACCTGAGGACGCTCTGCTCTAATGCAGCTTCTCCACAACTTCTCACTGAGTCCGGCCATTTTATGACATCAAGGAGGAAAACTCAGAAAAAAATAGATCTAGTTCATCTCCAAACACCTAATAAGAACATTTAGTCAATGATGCGATGAAGTGAGATTAAGAATTGGCTCTAAAGTCCAAGCTGACCAATCCTGTCATTCTTTTTTCCATGTTACAAACCAGATAACTAATATGTTTTATAGCTAAAAAGTTTCAGCCCAGTGGTGCAGTGGGTAGCACTGCTGCCTTGCAGCAAGAAGGTTCCAGGTTTGATTCCCGGCCCAGGGTCTTTCTGCATGGAGTTTGCTTGGGTTCCCTGAGCATGCGTGGGTTCTCTCCAGGTACTCCAGCTTCCTCCCACAGTCCAAAAACATGACTGTTAGGTTAATTGGCTTCTCTAAATTCTCCTTAGGTGTGAATGGTTGTTTGTCTCTGTGTTGCCCTGGATGGACTGGAGACCTGTCCAGGATGGACCCCGCCTCTCTGTCCAGGGTGGACCCCCCCTCTGTCCAGGATGGACCCCCCCTCTGTCCAGGATGGACCCCCCCTCTCTGTCCAGGATGGACCCCCCCTCTGTCCAGGATGGACCCCCCCCTCTCTGCTCTGTCCAGGGTGGACCCCCCCTCTCTGTCCAGGATGGACCCCCCCTCTCTGTCCAGGGTGGACCCCCCCTCTGTCCAGGATGGACCCCCCCCTCTCTGTCCAGGGTGGACCCCCCCTCTCTGTCCAGGATGGACCCCCCCTCTCTGTCCAGGGTGGACCCCCCCTCCTCTGTCCAGGATGGACCCCCCCCTCTGTCCAGGGTGGACCCCCCCCTCTGTCCAGGGTGGACCCCCCCTCTCTGTCCAGGGTGGACCCCCCCCTCTGTCCAGGGTGGACCCCTCCTCTCAACACATGTCATCTCAGGTCACTTTCCAGTTCACCAGATCATCCAGTCAGATTGATTCAAAGTTTTCTATCTAAGGAAAACCAGCTGATTGCATCGACTCATTGACTCTTCAGCAATCCCTCACACTAAGCATGCTTGTAGCGACAGTGGAGAGGAAAAACTCCCTTTGAACAGGAAGAAACCTCCAGCAGAACCAGGCTCAGTGTGAGCGGCCATCTGCTGAGGCCCACTGGGGTTCAAGGAGACAGAAGCAGACATAGAAAAAGAAGCATAGATACAAAAGGCAACTGTCAACCAGCTCCACAGGCGGCCCCGTCCAGGAAACACACAGCCAGGCAGACGAGCTCCGAGCCAGCTCCCATGTCAGAGGATGAAGAGAGCACATCCAGTTAGTCACAGTCAGAGAAACAGGACTACACTGGAAAACAGGCCAAGCTCCAACATCTAGAAACAAAGGTGTTGATGGCAGCAGCACAGCTGATATTTCTCTCCAGGATGGAGTCACAGCCAAACAGGAACAGACCAGATGAAGCTACTATGAGAAAAAGCAGAGAGAGCAGAACGTTAGAGATTGAACTAACAGACTCTGCAGAGTGGGAGAATAGAGATAGAATGAAGCAGAATGATGAAAAAGGGGTCCCCTTTTTCATCATTCTGCTTCATTCTATCTCTATAGTTCTGCTGCTATAGGCTTAGACTGCTGGAGGACATAGGGACCCCTTTTTCATCATTCTGCAAAGATCAATTTCACATCTAAGTATCGGCTGATCACCGATCTTCCCTGATAAATCAGTGCACCCCTAGTGTGAAGGAATGATTCAGCAGGATTTTGATTCTTCCTCTATCAGGGCCCTGCCTTGATAGAGGAAGGGGGTGAGACTAAAGGAACCAACATTGGACACTTTCTCATGTGCTGTCTACAAAGAGCTGTGTTTGGAGTCAACCCTCAGTAGAACTCTGCTGCAGTCTGAGCAGCTTTGACCTTCCAGAGACGGACGTTTTGACCCTCTCTTGGTAAAATAGCTGAAGGTTGGTCAGACTTGATGTTAAGGTGGATGACTTGCCATCTTATCTACGGTGTCTTCTTCAGGGTGTTTGTAGGATGGAGCAGCTGATGCACTGACAGTTTCACGTGGATGAATGTGGGCCCTGCTGCAGTCAGATGGTTGTGAGGCATAGATCATAACCAGCAGGAGGAGATGGTGGATATGAACATCTGGAATGAGAGCATGTGAGGAGCTGTATCACCTGAGAGGATCTCTGAGCTGAAAGCAGAAGCCTGTGATTGGGATGGAGGACTATGGAGGCTTTCAGGGCTCGTTCCACTGGTCTGACCTCACTGCTGTGTTTGAAGAACTGACCTGGTATAAAAGGAAAAGTCGCTCATATTCAGAATCCAAACTTCTGAAAGTTCTTTAAATCTGAAATGATTCCATCCTGTTCAATAAATGATCAGTGTTTTTAATTCAGAGTAATTTTCATGTGAATGTGCTTTACTGGAGGCATCCATGTTTGTCAAAGAACACTACTGCCACCTACTGGTTAGTGACATTGTCACGGTGCGGTATCGGCTGTTGATCAAGTCCCAGTGCTGTATCTGGTGTTTGTCCCAACGCGCTATTATCCAAGTCATCTTGAAAACATTCTTCTTCCAAATGTCGGCTACATATTACGGGTTTTTTCTCTGGCCAGAAGTTCGATGGCAAATCCTCCCTCTTCAAGTTGGCGATCCAACGACCAACCCGTCCGTGGAGGATCAGGAATCAGAAAGGTGGAATAACTCTTTGTTTCACTTTTACCCGATGTATTCCAGCATCCAGCTGCCATGCACGTGGGCATTGTCAGTTTCACTATAGCTCTGGTGAATTTCAATGGTGAAGTCCTCTGGAAATCTTCAATAATTGTTGTTGATTGCAGATGTGTCTAGTAGTTCCCATTGATTTAGCTTGGAAAGCGGGGAGAATGGCGCTAGGCTTACCGCACCGTGACGTCACTGCTGGAAGATGGCAGGAGGGAGGGGCTACTATATCTGGGCAAAAATGGCCGCTCCCAGACTCAGTGATTGAGACTCGGGTTTTTATTTTTTTTTACTGATTATTCATTAAATCACAGCAAACGTATCAGTTTTAGGTATAAATATTGATCCATTGATGAATCGTTGCTGACCGAGCTTCTCCTTTATCATGCGTGCTCTAAGATCAGCGCTCTAATCATCCCAGAAATAGAGCCATGCTTGCTAACGGCTCTGAATCCTGAATCCTGCTCAGAACTCAGCCCAAATGAGGCGTCCTGCTAGTTTGAATCCAGCTGATGTTTGTTTCCTTGTTTATGATGTCTTTTTATTTATCCTTTTGTAAACCTTTGTCCAACTCCTGTTTTATAGCAACCATGTCCAGCTTTGGACATGTTGGTTCTCACATCCCTGTCCATTCTCCCCTTTCTCAGTCTAACCCCAGAGGACTCCAGCTTCCATACAGCTCAGCTCATGTCCCTGCATTCAGAGTCCTGTGGCTCCTGACGGACAGCGCCAGCTGAGACTGCGGCCGGCCATGACCAGTTCTCCTCGCCTGTAGCAGAGGGGACAGACAGGGGTGAGGACTAGGTTCTGTTAAATAAACACTGAGAGTCAACAGTTTTTCTTCTTGGTGTATTTTCTGCTCTCCTTTTGTCTTCCTCCTTCCATCTTCCTCTCCTTCACCTCCTCTTCCTCCTCCTATTCCTGGACATTCCCTGAATGAGCAGCTGTTCCTCGCAGACAAACAGCTCCTAAATAATCCTGAAGGCATGCAGTTACTCCTCCCTTCTTCTCCATGGTCTTCTATTCTCATCTCTTTGCTCCTCTCATACCTTCATCCTCCCTTAGAGAGGACACTGAGACTTTGGTCTAAGGGGCTCCAGTTCCACACGTTGAACAGCAGGGGGCGGACTGCTCTTCTCGCTCTTTGGACCGAGAATCATTCATTATGTCTGAACTGCTTCAGCTTCACTGTGCTGTTTGACCAACAGTCCATCATCCAGGAAGTTTTACCTTGTTTCTCTACATGGTTTCCAGTTGCTGTTGCAGAATCCAGGGTTTTCTGAGGACCTCTGTGGTTTCAGGTCACTGCTATCAGGCTCAGTGGGTGAATGAGCTACTAAACAGGGATGGAAGTAACGGTAGCATTCAAGGTAACACCGTTACTAACGCCGTTACCTTTTTATAGTAACTAGTAATCTAACTAATTACTTTGACTGTAACTATAACGCAGTTACCATTGCAGACACCCCGTTACTGCGCGTTACTCAGGTCGCACAATGAACCTTTTTTCATGCTAGGACTCGTACGCCTTGTCATGAGAGAGGGGAGGATGGGATTGGCTGATGTATAAAGAGATTCTGACACAAGGACCCGTAGCGGGAAACGGCGATACAGGGCACTAAGCAATAAAATATCTTTACATATTTCGCAAAGGTTTTTCTTTATATTTTTTAAAAAATGTAACTAGATTTGTAATTCTTAATATTTTCGGAAGTAACTGTAACTGAATTACATATTTTCTCAATGTAACGCATTACAGTTACTCTTTTTTTGTAATTAAATTTACGTAACATCGTTACATGTAATCTGTTACTCCCCAACACTGTCAGGTACTAACTCAGTTACTTTTTGGGAGAAGTAACTAGTAACTATAACTAATTACTTTTTCAAAGTAACTTGCCCAACACTGCTAAATCAGTAGAAGTCTGCTTCATTGTGGAA